TCGAAACCGCAACCGGAAAAGAAAACTTTAAGTCAAATCGAGGAGGGTCGCACTAGTATTTACTAGTGGGAGTTAATTGTCGTTGTTTTGACACATTGAGAACTAAAGTAGGCCAGATACCAGAGAACATTATCTCTTCGTAGTCCGATCATTTGGCGTAGGATCGTTTTCCTCCTTTCCCAGTTTCAGGAGGATGGGAGAAATAAAGAAAATAAAGTGCTTGGCTGCAAAGATTGCATTTAGCTCGGAGAATAACAAACCTGTGACGGTGCCTCGGTAGACTATAATTGGCTCGCCTGTAGAGAGTTCCCGTAAGAACGTTGAAATAGCGAAGGATTACAAGCTTATGAATTGCTCGCCCGTAGAAAGTTTTCGCAAAAACGTTAAAATGGCGAAAAGTAGTGGTAGCCTCGTCCGTCCACAACGAAACGCGAAGGTCAGAAAATTTCAACGATTGATTCAAATTGATCGTGTTTCAAATTGGTCACGTTTCGCTGACAAGTGCTGACACTTACCGCCGTGATTCCTATTGTTTAGCTCAAGTTTTCCAAAATCTGCCTGCCCCACCCAAGCAATACGGCGTCTTTCATGTTTTTCGCGATTTTCAAAGTTTTTTCCAACTTGAAAACTTGGGGTCGCACTTGGCAATGTGTCCCGATGACAGATTTTTACCGCAAGGTAAACAAATTCTTCCAGAAATTTGCCAAGTGCGACCCATGCCCAACTCAGATTTTTTGGGCAGCGAGAGAAAATTTGGGCAAAGCCAGTTCTTAAAGACGTCTCCATGTTTATTGAATTACACCTTTTGCTGTTCATTACGAGAAAATACGCATTGATTTGTGTGAAACAGCGACCAACAGCGCGAAGATACATTCATTAGCGCAAAAAAGCGAACATTTGCGCCTAAATCAGATTCAATAACGATTTTTGCATTTTAATCAACATTCAATAACATTTTTGGGCATTCATTTGCGTCATTCGACGTACAAAAGAGAAAAATATACTTTCATTAACGCCAACATCCAAGTCATTAACACCATCTTGAAAGTCAGTAGGGACAATAGACAAACATTAAAGTGCAAACACTATTCATTAACATTTTTATGACACTATTTGCAATTCAATAGCATTCCTGGACAACCTTAGGATGGATATGACAAACATTAATGCGCATGTACAATCAATTGAGTGTTCTTTACATTTAATATACAAAAATCGATTTTCAATTAAACAATAGAAATTCAAACAAATCTGGCCTGAATTTCAGTCCGTTAAATGAATATCCTTCAAAAACCTCGCTATTTAAACATTTTGGGAGGTAGGTTTGCATGAAATAGTACCCTTTAGCGCATTTAGCTGCGTCACAATGTCATCCTCTGGGCAGAACTTCAACCACTGCAGTTGTTGTTTCCGAACTCCGCTAGTGAGATTGCTAGGGCTTTGCCCCCATTCCTGTTATACGTCTTTTAATTTCCGGACTCGAGATGTCGGCCTTTGGTGTCGCTTTCAGACAACTTAAATCCTTTTCAACGATGTCGAAGGGAGAAGCATAAGCTGTGCTCGTATTGGGCGGGAATGGCCAAATCTAGGTGCGCTGGCACCCCGTCATACCCAAAGACCACCGACTTATGGGGATCCATTTTTTCCTCGCCCGTGCCAGAAAAAAAAAACCGACACAGTATTCATTACTCCAGCAGCTGCCAAGGAAAACATCTGATAGGTGGTATTGCCATGGTCATAGTCAAGTTTCGTCCTCGTTGGCCGCACACTTAACGTTACGCCCTCCACTCCCTGTCGCACTCCACCATGACTTCTGGCCGTCTAGGGTAAATGTATGGCCTCAGCCGTCGATGAACACTCAGTGGCGAAGTACGGCGTGATTCTTTAATTAAATTCAGGTCAATTTTTTTTTGGGGGGGGGAGGGGGATTGGTATTGTTTAATTGAAAATAGATTTTTGTGTATTAAATGTAAAGAACGCTCAATTGATTGTACATGCGCATTAATGTTTGTCTTATCCATTCCAAAGCTGTCAAGAAATGCTGTTGAATTGCAAACAGTGTCATAAAAATGTTAATGAATAACGTTTGCACTTAAATGTTTGTCTATTGTCCGCAATGATTTTTAAGATAATGTTAATGACTCGAATGTTGGCGTTAATGAAAGAATATTTTTCTCTTTTGTATGTCGAATGACGCAAATGAATGCCCAAAAATGTTATTGAATGCTGATTAAAATGCAAAAATCGTTATTGAATCTGATTTAGGCGCAAATGTTCGCTTTTTCGCGCTGATGAATGTATCTCCGTGCTGTTGGTCGCCGTTTCACACAAATCAATGCGTATTTTCTCGTAATGAACAGCAAAAGGTGCATTTTAAAGACTTGAATATTAACCTGAAGTCGGCGTAATAATCCAGTTACATTACAGTGGTTGCCTAGCATGTGATGAGTAATTTACAAAAGCGCTTCGTTTTCTACAGATAACGGCCAAAAATCAAGATTTTCCTTTTCTTACCGTATTTCTAATAATAAAAACTTCATTCCAAAATATCTCGATAACGCTCTTAAGGTTTTGCTCAAACTTCACGAACATCGAGGCGACCGTATTGGAGAAAAAAGCTCCTGTGAACGATTTTGCAAGGTTCCCGTGCCGAGAATCATAGGTAAAGGAGTTATTTCGTTGCTATGACAACTCTGATGTCATTGCAACCCTGATGATGACAAATTTTCATCTTAATACAACCGTGGTCGCAATTGTTCCAAATGTTTGTTTATGGCGACGTAGTTTATGCTCAGACTTGGTATTGCCCCTGGAAAACTGTATCGAGCCACCTTCATATGCCAGGACGGCCTATGTTGTTGCAATATGGCCCTCATTTCTTTTCGACTCTTTCGTAAAAATTTGGGCAACTTGCGAGATTTTTTGGGCAAATGGTTTACCGCCCCCCCTGGCAAAAAATTTCCCCTACGCCTATGGGCATGCAAAAAGACCAGCAAACTAAAGAGGCCTTCGCTTGAGTCTCAAAGATAGAGGTATCAGTACCCCATAAATCCTCTCAAGCGTGGCATGGTCTCTCCAGCTGATGTTTTGTGCTTTTCTCATGTTTTCTCAAACGGTTTCAATATAGCAACCGTCGAGACTACACATAAACCTGGCAGACCCCTAATGGGCTTTAGCCATCTCTTGTTGTGGTGTTGGACTGATTTTGCTGTTTGTCTACTAATTATTCATTTCACATTTTTATTATAACAATCTCAATGCAAGATCCAGTTGTTAGAAAAATTATTGCGTCATTGTGGCGGCAAAACTCGTCACGTGATCTGAAAACTGAGCTTTGCACGAGAGTCTAGGAACTGTGTATAGACTGGGGTAACTTTCGCAAAAGAGAACTCCTGTCGGCAAATTCGAGGAAAAGTTGCTAAACACATTTTTCTAGATGAGAATTATGTGCTAAACACGAAAATTTTGTTTACCATTTAGACATTGAAATTAGCCGTTAAGGGTAGCATTAATACATTGTGACATGAAAACGAGGCTGTATGTTGTATGAGGATGCAGAGAACTCTCAAACTGTTAAAATTCGTTCAGATCAACAGCTGACTGATACAACTTATTACTTACAGTACCTCGCAGAAACCGTCTGAAAATCACGTGATTTTTCTGGTCACGTGACCATTGAAAACGAGGTTATAGGCTGTTCAGCATTTAGACAAATTTAACGGCACAGTCATGAAAGAAACAAAATTACCAATCCAGCAATTCGCTCCGTTAGTTACAGCAGCTATAGAAATTTAATTTTTCGGCTATTTCCTAAGATATTTACAGTACGTTCCCGATCTATATTGCAGACATCTTACTTCCATTTGGAATTATTGAATTTCTGGACGTTTGCAAAATCCTTGAGATAATTAACAAAAACTGCATTTTCTTAAAACTACTTTTAACTTTCACGCCCTAACCATTCTGGATACATGCTGCACTTATAACTAAGAAGGAATGTCAGAACATTCGATTGATAGCAGCCATTTTAGATGCGTCTGATGTCAGCTTCTGAAACACATTTAAGACCTAAATTGATATTGTAAGCATCAGATATCCTCGTCCTATAGGACGAAAATAACAAAAAACGTTATTAGTCCACAGACAATTATAAAACAAGGATAAAAAATTACTGAGAGAAGCTAAACGCTTTTTTCTGCTGAACTGTACCATTTACTTTCCTTGGTTTGCAATGACATGACCATCAACATCATTTGTGCAATTGAGATCTTCAGTACACCTGCATGTAGACGGCGAGCTTTTGCCTGATTCCCATGAATTTATCAGGAATTTAAACAATTTGTCTTACAGTACTTCGGGACCCAGTTGTTCGAAGACCGACTTGCGCTAACCCGAGGTTAAATTTTTATCCTGGTTTCTTCTTATTTTGTTCCAAAGCATTTTCTCGAATAAGTTTCTTTAGTATTTTCCAAATCAGTGAATAGCACTTTTCTTACCTTTTGATTGGCTCCCGTAACTCGGAATATCCTTTGCGACCGGAGCTAAAATGGCGTCTCACCTCGAGGCATTTTCGGAAGACGAAATTTGAGCGATTAATGGGGCAGTCGTACAAACAAATCCTAGGAAAGCGACTATCTTTGGCTTGTCGGTGTTTACTGGTAAGTAAGAATATATCAGTCATACTGAATTTGCAACAAAATCGTCAAAATACCAGAAATGTTTGTAAATTGTAAATTAAGTTCCTACTAAGTGACGTTTTTAATTTCCAAAAGGTTACTTTTTTCATTTTTATCCAACTGATTTGGTAAATACTAAAACAACTATCCCCCTCAGGATCGGTGAAAAGTGCTAGATATATAACTCGACGCTTCGCGTCTTGGTATACGCACCACTATTCACCTCTCCTTCGGGGGATAGTTGTAAACTATCCTTTTTAGAGCATCCAATAGTCACATTGAAGACAAAAAGAATTAAACTGAATTTTGCTTTTTCAGCTTTTATCTCTGAATTCAAATGTCGCACTAACCGTGTGTTATCTTAACCAAGCTTTTATTTATCTTAACCAAGCTTTTAACAACCCGGCCCTGTAATTTGAATCCTCCTAAAAACCCCAGTCGTCCGTCAGCAAGTTAAGAACAGAATTCACAAGTGCAATCGCAAAATTTACTAGCTTCCAGTTATCACGCATAACTTTTCTTGCAGGCTGTGCGGTCAGGAATGGCTATTGGAGAATTTTGACTTAAGCTACAAGCTGGATGCATAATCTTAGGAATCACTCAGTAATCCTTGGATATTATTCATAAGTCACAAACAATCATCAAAATTTGATATCTTACACATGCTCATTGTGGTATGTTCTACGCAACTTGCCCCAGAATTCAAAAGGAAGATGGTTCCTTGAAAGAAAGGAAAAGTTTGCATCACAAAGCTTTCAGCGCGGGCTATAATTATTGAACAACCCTAAAAGAAATCAGACCCACCTCAGTAAGGCTAAAACTACTGATTCCACTAACCTGTTGCAACAGGCTACTTCTTCTCCACCCACATTTTTGCCCCAGCTTTACTTTTAATTAATAATTTTATTCCCATGATGTTGATCTCTATCAATAATACTATTTATCATTTTTCATCACATATTTGATCTTGCTATTCACAAAATAGGGTTTCAGTCACTCATGAAACCATCTACTCATCGTGCAATGGAACAGATACGTTCATCTCAGCCAAGACCTCTTTTATACACTCAAGCAAATGCTCCATGTCTTCAGGGTACAATTTTCCAATGTTGCCAATCCTAAAGCAGTCTGCATTGCTTACTTTTCCAGGGTAGATAACTTGGTCCCTACTGTTTAAGCGACTGTAGAACTCCTCAAAGTTGTAATTAGGGTGGGTGGGGTTGTAGTAGGATGTTATGATGTAACCTTCGTGGGTATCATCTAAAAACTTCTTAAAGCCAAGTTTTCTCATTCCATCTTGAAGGACATGGCAGTTTTCCATGTATCTACAAATTTAAGTTTCAAAATTAAGTAAAATACATTAACCCATTTGCTCTCAAAGTCAATAACAGAGAAATGCAGTAAATGGTGAATTTAGCATCCAGGGTCAGGGGCATAGCTGGATTTTTCAAAGGGGGAGTCACACATGTCACACCCAGGGCACTAACACGATAAGCATGTCAACATCAATGCCGTGTTTTACTTAAAGTGACACTTTTTTTGGATGAGCAGTGAGCACGGGGGGAAGGGACAAGCTTACAAAATAGCTGCATACATGTAGGTTAATTAAGTTCCATGTAGCATAAATTACTCTATTTTAGTTATGAACAAAAACATAGTCCACTGCAGATGTTAGGTCCTGCAAATGGATTAAGTAACTATCTCGCAATAAAAAAGATTTACTGCATGTTCATTCTTCAGATTCATGCGTTTTGGCCACCCGAATTATAGGAACATAAAACAATGATCACACAAAAAAGGGGGTCGGTCATGGGCACCCCAGGACCACTCCGAGCTATGCCCCTGTGGGTCAAGGGGGGGGGACACTTATTCAAACAAGAGCCATCTTTGAAGAGGGGTGCTACTGTTTTGCTAATTTGTGGAGCACATAGGCAATTCCTCATGGGTTAGACACCTAGCAGTGCAGGGGGGAATCCCACAGGAAAGAGACAGGGGTGCTTATTGTCTCATTGGTGCAAATTGCAATTTGTGGTTTCAGTTAGGATGATCAGGACTGTTATGAGTTAAATGGCAAAATAGGAAACTTTACCTTAAAACCTTATATACCGGTAGTGACTAGGATGATCTGTTAACAGCTGTTGCAGATGACACAGCATGCAGTTCACAGTTGTTAAACTTAAAATAAAACTTACAAAAGGTTATAACTCTCTCACCTGTTTGCCCTTCCATCAACACCACCTTCAGCTTTGAACTCTGATAGAGCATGGCGAAAAGCAAGCATGGCATGAGTAGCTGGAGTGAACCTAAACTGACCATTCTTCTCCAAACCCTCATACTGATCTACAATGTCAAGAGAAAGACTGCGGGCCCATCCTTTGCACCGATTCAATGACTCAATGTGCCCAATCACAAATGAAAAGCCAGGTACACCTTCTATACACTTATTTGCAGAGCTGACCATAAAGTCAATGTTGGCTAAGTCTAGATTAAGAGGAACTGCTCCAAAGCTGCTCATAGCATCGACAAAGAAGGATGCACTTGGAGCATGTTCTTTGACAAGTTTGCCTACTGCTCCCACTGGATGAATGACCCCTGTAGAAGTCTCGCAGTGCACCATAGCAACATTGGTGATGGATTTGTCACTCTTCAAGATTTCCTCAACTTTAGCCAAGTCTGCCTTTGCATTTTCCTCTCCATGCAAGACAACCTGGACAGAAAGAAAACAAAAATGCTGGGGTTTTATAATTAATTTACATGTACAATAATTTTCCACAAGGCTACCATGCGAGCAGAGACTACATTTTCACGGTATGAGCTCATACCGCTCATACGTCAGCTCATACCGTGGAAATGTAGTCTCTGCTCACAGGGTACCACAAGGCAGAAGGTATGTTTTGTAATTCTCACTCAATTGAAAAAGGATTATAATGGAACTGACAAGAATGCAAGTCTTAAACATTACAAACATTGTGGTCTTTTTAAAATCACTGTGATTTGCTTCCTGTCTTCTATTCTAAACAGGATACAGCCATGTTGCCTTCAGCAATTGATGCAAGATAGCTGAACATTAAAGACACCTTCTCTACAGCCATATTTCCAATGAGGTAATTTTCATTCAATTAGCCAGTAAGTGTAAATTAAGAAACTGGAATAAACAATATTTGTTCATTTTCATGATAAAATATTGTAACAGCCAAAAACTTCAACAGATTTTTCTGACTGCTCTAATAGAAATAAAAATCAGCACAACTAAAGAAAGTTATAATTTTGTGATCATTTAAAATAATTACACTGTACTTATCACAGAAAGCTAACCAAGCACAAATCTAGTTTTCAAAATATTGACCAAAATGTTAAAATGGAAGCATCAGTGTAAAGAAATATTACTATTTTGAAACCCCAAAATTCACCCCGTATGTATGTATAACTCTTGACAATTGCCTGGTTTAATGGATAAAAATATAGACGCACTTTTATGTGTTTACAGTGTGCACCCAACAAAAAAACTTGTTTAATAAGCACAGAGTGGAAGGACAGTATAGAAGATTGTCACAAGACTTCTTCTTGATTCCAGAAACTATACACTGAAAAAACTTTAAGTTAGTGCAAACTACAGGTACTGTTGTATTCATACCGTTTCAATTCCGGCAACTTCACAGATCTTTGCCATTCTCTTTCCATAGGAACCATTTTCAATAATGAAGACCTTCCCTCCATCTCGTGGTGTTGTTGTTGTAAGAACAGCCTCCACTGCATAAGTTCCACTCCCTTGAAGTAAAACTGTTGTGTATTCTTTGGGAGAAACACCAGCAATTTCTAAAAGCCTTGAACGAATGGATTTTACAACACCTATGAACTCAATGTCACGTGAACCAAGGTCTCGTAGCATGGATCGTTTTGTATCAAAGCTTACACCAAGTGGTCCAGGAGTGAAAAGCTTTTTGTCCGTGTGGGCTCCTGATTCCAAATCTAGAGTAAAATAGACAAATCAGACAAAGTACATGTAGCAGTTATCAATAAATAGTAACAATGCACTTTTACTATCATCATCATCATCATCATTAGCAGGTGATGGTCATTAGCGGGGATGGTCAAAAGATTGATGTATTGCATTAAAATCATCATCACTTTTCAACACAACCGTGTCTGTTGTTGACAAAAGCCTGCATGCTGGGACGACTTAGGTAAGCCTGCTCATCACGTTTGCCCCGAATTTAAAATGGAATCGTTTGCTTTATGCAGATATAACCCAGCCTGGTTGCAGACGTATTAATCTAACCTCAGACTTTACCAGAGTTTAGCTTCGTCTGTGGCGCAGGCTAATATGACCAAAATACACAAGGTTATTTTTCCGTTTGGGTCTATTATTGGTTTCATGTCTTTAGATGATCTGCTTTCAATCAATTTTTTGTCAGTTGATGTAGCACTGTCACATTATACATTGCAGGTGTAAATGAATAGCCAAGGTCTCTGCAGCTATGACTGAAAATACAGAGAACTGGAAATGAATCATATTGTAGTCTCAGCAGCATTTCAGTCAGAGATGAGTTGATGTGATGGGTTGGTGTAAGGAGGACTACTGAGAGGGAGCAAGCTTATTTTTTTGATGTCATGAACAACAATTTTTGGTGACCGTGAATCGTGTACTGAAAATCTGTGAATTGTGATTGAAGTGCAGTCCGTGAAAGCTGAACTACCAAAATTCTCAATAATTTTTGTTTACACATACATAGACCTATTCGGCTAACTCAATGTTGTACCCAATTCAGGCCCTTTGGGAATAAAACTTTTTGTTTCAAGAATTTCCATACATTTAAATAGAATGCCACATTATAATGCAAATACAATTTTACAAAGAATCTTAACCCCAGGAGATTTGAATTGGGTACAACATTGAGTTAGCCAAATAGGTCTATTGAACATCAATCAAAGAATTAAATAAATCGTTAATTCGGCCAAACGAGTTAACTAGCATGCTCAGACCCAACTACAGCTGGCTTCCCTAGGGAATTTATAGCTGCGCAGTGTTTTTCATAAGGTTCATAAAACTTAAATTAACTTGGTAAAATATAATCCAAGCACTCTGTTTTACAAAATGGGACTAATGTAACATTTTAAACATTTTGTACAACCTCTATTTTTGAGAAGTGTAAAAACATTAATTTTCTTTTGTGACTCGTGAAACGCACAATAATAATTGTTGTTGTGAACTCAAGATAAAACCCCCCCTTGCCTGCCCTCCCTCACTACTAGCAGAGGTAAAATTGATGAAGGTATCATTTTAACCAGAGTCTTGGCTTAGTGAAAGGCAAGTAAAAAAGCCATAGTAGACCGCATAATCCAATTTTTAATTAAAATCTTTGAGGCTGGTTTTCACCACTGATGGAGTCAGTTGGAGTTGTAGTCAGAAGCACAGAGCTTCGCCATTCAGTGAAAAAAGCATTCTGATTCCACTTACGACTCTGTCGATTACAATTAAGTGAAAACTAGTTTTGTCAAAGTCACAAGCAGAAGCAGCGAATGAGCATTGTGATTTGTTTGTTCTTCCACTTCTGCTTCCGACTCCAACAATCTGGTTTTCACGAGATCGTAAACAATGGAGTTATAAGCAGAGTCATTAGAAAATGGAAACGTTCTGATTTTTCCGACTCTAATTCCATCACACTTATGACTCCACTTACAACTCTGATTTTTGATTTTCACTACGTCATAAGCACTCTTTATGCCTTTGCTTATGATTCAATTCAATTCAATTCTTTATGTCACACTATATAAGATATTTACATAAGTGTACGTAGGAAGGAAAATAAAGTAGCTGACAAATAATAATCAACTAAAAGACATTAAGTTCATTTGTGTACAGTGTCCAAAGTGGCAAGAGCTTTCATGTTGGACACCGTCATGTTGAAATAATTGGCAGCAGTAAAGAGAGGAATAAAATCTCAGATAATATCAGTGATAGAACATATAAGCAAGGTCAGATTTGATTCTGACTCCGATTCTGTCGTTGGTGAAAACCAGCCTTTACGTACACTTGTTTACGCTATGATCATGGTTTAATTCAAAGGTAATCCACAATCACCATCAGAATTTACAAAGCAAGATGGCATCTGCAATGTACGTACAGGTTATACGTCTAATAATCTTACCAACAATCACCTTTACCCTCATAAACGAGAAACTGGAGTTTAGAGTTTAGTTTAATTTCCATCCACGTGATGGCTATGCTTTTGTGGATTATTTGAATAAACGTAAACGTTATGGTTGTTGAGTATTTTTTTCTTCATTGCGTGACATATAGATTTCATTGCACATCATTGAGCTGCCAACAAACACGATAATGTGGCAACGCACGAACGAATAACATACCAATAAGTCAGAAATATTTTATATTCCACCGAATGTTTCCATTACTATGAAATACACAGCTTTGTATTTTACGGTTTTAAGATAAACTTACACTTGAAAAGAACAATCTTTCATACCTGGTTCGTCGAGACTCGAGCCTGCGGGCGCTGAACAAAGCCACTTTTGGCTAGTGTAGATTGCTTGAGGAGATCTATTACAAATCCTGGCGACATAAGACAAAGACCTTGCAGCTCTATAACGAAACGCCATGGCTAAAACTCTGTCGGGAAGGAATATAGAACAGAAACCTTCTCTATAATGTCCCAAAACACAACCAGAACAGACCACTGCCAACGCACACGCATGCGGGGTAATCCGGGTGGGTATGTAGGGGGAGGGGCTGTCGGCACAAGGGCCCAGGGAACGACGGCCGTCTCCTCATAAGCATTCTGAGTGGTCCCAATGCAATCCAGTTCCCACGAATCTAAAGCACAAAAAGAGTATGAAGTAAAAAGCTTCTGGAACCAGAAACTCAAAAGGAGATTTGTTCAAATTAAATTATTCGTGCCGTGAACGTGGCGTGACTGGAATTTTTTTAGCAGGAAACATGTTGTCAATCATGTGATTAAGGGATAGTAACGGGAACCGGAAGGGATGATGTAAATATCATGGTTAGTAGAGGGGACTAACTATGGTAGACTGCAAAACAGTCCGTATTTTTGCGTATTCAAGTACGCGCGAGCAGTCAAATAAAAGGTCTGGAATGAGGCTGAAAACAGAGAGCGAGACAACGAGGACAACGAAAAGTTCGTTTTTCAGTAGGTCGGCCCACTTTGGTAACGTTTCCCTTTTTCTGGTAGGCGCAACAAACGCATTTTCCGAGCTTATCCATCCATTCGTAAAATTGCCGAACTGTGTTTTGAAACAACAGCCGCACATTCTACGATTTGTCCAAAGCCCTCGGCTCTTTCGGCTTTCTCCCTCTTCGAGGAGCAGGCACAGGCTTTGTTGTCGTACTGCCACTTTCACTCATTTTTGATCCTCCACTATATATACTACATTTCGCTATATACACTACATTTCACAGGGAAGCAACGCTAAAAACTGCTTTACTATGATTACTGGATTACAGCGTCAATAATAACACGCGAGTCTATCAAATTCACAAAGAGGGTGGAGTTGCGAACAGATTTTTGACAGCTCGACGACATTTTTGAACCCCCTGGTCGGAACGAACTCATTGTATGGAAAACGGACAGTCGGTTTTTTTTCTCTCGCCTCACACGCCCTACGGGCGTGTGAGGCTCGCGCGCTTCGCGCGCGTAAGAGTCTTACCCCACGCTTTACCGATTTCTTTACTGATTTTGAGAAAAAAACCGACTGTTTTGCAGTCTAAACTATGGTAAATATGAAAGAACGATGAACCAACTGAAGAGTGGCTTTCGCGCGGAAAAATATTCCTTCCCAAATTTCGTGCTTAAAAATTTACTACAGCCTACAATCTCTCTCCGTGTCCCTAGCTCGCATTGTTAAACAAGAAAAAAGAAAGCTTGATTGCCGTTGCGCAGCACCGAACAGTCCCTCTTTATATGATTCTATCCGCGAGGGCTATAAGCCTCACTTCCATGCAACTTCCGTTTTAAAAGGGTAAGGGGCTAGGCTGAACCAACACCGCGGCAAAACGTCTACGCATGCGTTAGGTTGAGCATTTCCAGTCTCTTTTTCAGTCACACTTTCCAGTCAAAGTCTCCCGCGCGCTTCATTCTGTGTGCAGCTTGTGGTTCAGTTGTTCTGCTTTATGCTGCTCGTGTTTTTGACTATTTTGTAGTTATTGAAATTGCTTTTATGGATAACCAGGCACAGATCACTGAAACAATTAGTCGATTAGATTCAGAAAAAGTAAGATGATAATAACTCAGTGTGTAATTTTGGCTAGAGCGTCAGGTAAACTGATTTTCATTCACGAAAATAAAGTTTTTGACTCTTTATTTTTCACTTAACCTGGCTGAAACTAAGACATAAAATTAAAACGTTATCATTGCAAGCTTGTGTATTGTAGTTCTAATTTTCAGTTCTTCAGTTTCTCAGTCTACATGTGTTAAAGCCGATTCAAACTTTATTTGGAAAACGACAACACACAATCGCTTTGTAGTTTTGTTTATCAGTGGGTTTTACCGTGTTTTAAAACGAAACTCTTCTGGGTTGATTGCCATGAAACATAAGCTTAATTATACTGTTGAGCCGGTTGACAGCAAGTTGACAAAGCTATTTATTTATTTTCCCATTCTCAGAATCAGAGAGCGAAAACTGGTTCAGTGGATTTAGAAGTCGAACTTTTCATTACATGTATTTAGCAGCTAGAAGTTTCGTGTTTGCATGAGATGCAGCCGAGCCGCACAGTCTGAAATTATTGAAGTCTTCAACAAAAGAACAACCATGTAAAAGAATTAAATAGGTATTTTCTTGAATGAAAGTCATTTATAGGCATGTTTAGTTTCCCGGTGACTGCAGTCATCAAAGTCAAAGTTGTTATTAATCTTTTGTTTTGAGTTCTTGTTTTCTCTGATAACAAAACAAATTATTGAACGGACTAAAATTTTATTTCCTGGTTTTAGTGTTAGATGACATCTTTATTTTGCCGGGTTTCTTTCATAAGTATTGTTATTCTTTTCTTAGTTGTCGCCTTCTCCCAAATTAACTTATGCCAAACCAGTAGCATGCACGAAAGCCAGTAAAAACAAATTCGTCTTGTCGAGCGCTCGCGACCTGCAAACTTCAAACATCATTTTCACCGTTGGTGCAAACAGATAACCATGTGGTGCAAACGTTTGAGAATAGAAAAATATATAAGCTTTCGAATGAAGTGATATTTTTGGCCCCCTTTTTTGTCTGTTTCGCCCATTTTGCTTTTAGACTTGGCGCGACGGCAAAGTTATGCTTACGCTATTGGTTTATATACTAGACCGGAAATAAAAAGCTGACCGGATATTAAATTTTGTGCTCATGCGCATTGCGTTTTGCCGCGGTGTTGGCTGAACCTTGGGACGGAGCCTCCCCATATAAAACTTTATTGAGTATCACTCCCTCCCCCTCCACCCTGTGGGCTTGTCGTCTGATCTCGCTGAAGAAATGGTCTCACAGTAGGGTAAGCAGAACGGAAAGCCTAGTACCCATACGCTTAGGGTTGTGCGGAGAGAAGTATCTGTATCTAGTACGGCTCTCCTTTTAGGGGTCAAATAAAGCCTGAGTCACGGACACTGATTAGTCTCCTTAAGGGGTTTACTGATTCTAGATTGCCGAGAAGCTTCCCCGTCTCTTTCGTATGGGAGTTTTCTAAATGTAAGAAGCACCATGTAGCACGATCGTCTGAACAACCGTGCCTAATTATGCATTGTCACAGTCGATTACGGACACACCTATAAGATGGCAAAGGATCAGTGCGCTTGGCTTGGTGTACGATGAGTTTCCCACCTCCCAAAACGCTCCGCTGCCTCTGAATTTTTTGTGATACTGAGCGTTTGAAGATCAAGGGCCGAAAGCAAAAGGTGGCGATAGCAACGAAAAAGAGACAAACTAGAAGCTGCTTATTTATATATATATTTATTTAATAACTTTCATCGTATGGAGCGGAACACAAAACAGAGCGGGGTTCCAATTTAAGTGTGTCCTTACAGATATCCCACCCAGCCCAAGAAAGGTTGGCCACACCACGGGGATCTACGTCCCCGACTCTTTTCGAACAGTGGAGTGGGTTCTTTTACGTTCCTCAAGAACCAGATAAGTGAAAGTGCTGTGAGACAGGACCTACGGTGTTTCGTCCTTATCCGAGCAGATTAGAAAGTCTAATCGTTTGTAGATGTAACAAGTGAAAAGGCAGCACTTTCTCCTCAGTAATTTAAAGACTCTCAGTGTTGGCCCGGCTCAACCTCGTCCACAGGGCGCTTTTCCCTGGCTTTGGAGGTGGGGCGCCTTCAAAGCCAGGGAAAAGGGTCCTCGGGACGAGGTTGGGCCACGCTGGGATTTGAACCCGCGACCTCCCGCCCAAAAGACCGACGCTCTCCCAAATGAGCTAACCATGTTGTGGTTTAGTAAATCATGTGTTATCACGGAATTACTTAGTTATCGTACATGTTCACGTACGCTACGGTCTACTGATCAAAAACTTCTAGCAGTTCCGAAGTCAAGACTTAAAACATACGAAGACAGGGCCTTTTCCGTTGCTGTACCTAAACTCTGGAATGAGCTGCCATTAGATCTTAGAAGTTTAGTTACAATTAATTTAAAAAAGCATATAATGTTTGACTTTTTGATAATTTAGAATTGGATTTATTGTGATATTTTTATAAATAAGACTGCTAATAGGTTTTTAATTTATTCATCTGTTATTACCAGTGGTATCTTTTTAATTATTTTAATATTATGAATTGTAAAGCGCTTTGGTCAATTAGTGGAGTTAGCGCTATATAAATTATGTTATGTATGTATCATATTTTTTCCCTTTCGAACGGAGACTTTGACGCTGGCTGGAAGTGAAACTGTCAAGAAGTAGGTGGTAAATATATAGATTTCGAAAAAAATCTAGAAAAGTGTGAAGTGCCCTCAACGACGATTTGTATTGCATGCTTAGTACGCAAAAATAATCGAGTTTGATAGTACGTGGTTTATTTAAGGGTCATAAATGCAAAGTAATAATTCTTTGCAAACTATATTCTGCTTCAAGAGAGTTTCAAGAGTGAATACATCGTTTACATTGCCTAGTCCCTAATCCCAGTTCCTCTCGGTCAATTCACTTTGGTCACAGCTTCGCTTGGATCACGTGACCCGAAACGCTTTGGCCGCGCGGGATAATGAGGCCTAGGGACTCAGTCTGTGGCTGAAAACCTACGGTGTTCACATGGTACTATTTGTTTTTCAGCATTTTACTAAATGTCATTGGAAAATTTTGTTGCGTTTTTTTCCGCCTCTGAGATGGGTGAAAGACGCTGTCTTAATGGTATAGCCGCTGATTGGAAGAGAATCAAAGGAGGCCAGGGGCCGGAGGCCTCAAATAATCTTCCCGCTATTTATTATATTATCAAGAGATTATAAGGGGCATCTCTGATACCATCTCTGTATTGCTTCACTACGTCTTAACTAAGTCTGCAAACAAGTACCTTTTACAGGTTCCGAGAACAAACCTGAAAAGTTATGGCGACATAGTTTTTTCCGGTTGCTGCGCCTATCTTTTGGAATGACCTGCCAATGGAGAAAAGTAGTCCATCTGGCGCTATGTTGAAAGACTTTGAAGACCTATCTTTCTTTCGAATTGCATATAATTTCTTTGTTTTTTAAAGCACAGGTATTTGTCGGAATTTGCTACCATAACTGTAAAGCGCAACCTCGTCCTCAGGGCTCTTTTCCATGGCTTTAAAGCCTGGGAAAAGCGCCCTGGGAACGAGGTTGTGTAAAGCGGTATAGAGCTTTTAGTACAATTTGCTATATAAAATAAAAAATTATCATTATTGTAATTATTATCATTATTTATCAACGGAGATCAAGTAGCAAGGAATTATAATGGGAAACTAGTATATACATGTCAATTACTTTGACTTCAAATAGTTTCATGGTCTTTGTCGTCAACATCTGTTATGAAACTATAGTCACAATAACAAATTACTGCTTGGAAACATACGTCTGATGAAACTTGAAACTCAAACGACGTTTGGGTAGAAGGCAAAGGCAACCTTTCTACAATCGAAGGGATCAAATAGGTTAAATAAACGTAATCGAAATTAGCAACCAAGTCCCTTTCATGAGGCACCAGGCAAGTCCAAGATCTATGGCTTGGTTACCAAATGTAATAGTAAATCTATATTGAAAAAGTAAACAAACGTAATCCAAGTACTGTGAAGTACTGAGTACAACGCGCTTGTGACTATATACTAAGAGACGCACACGTTCGCCCGATCGCCACTTGATAATAACCGATGAATGATTTCACATATTTTCTTACAAGCCGTTAACTCTCTTTCCAGCTTTGCAGCATCCGTCCGGCTCTGATCTCTTCCTTTCAATCTGGAGGCAACGAAGTCTTGCCGAGGCATGAAAAACGATGGGAATTCTTCATCCTGGCATACATATTGACGAATTCTCTCGTAGATTCGTTGCACCCATACTTTTAAGTTGTGCCTCTCGTCCAGACCGTGCTTGTCTAGTTCGTGAAACAAAGCCGTTTTTAGCCAATAAGAGGGAAATAAAGAGGAGGCATAATGATATTTCTCATCGTGGAAAATTTGCTCTTCATCCACCAATGCTGGGCATACTTCGCGAATGGCTTTAGCAACAATATAGGCATCCTTGAGGTTTTCAGGAATGTTGTCAAAGATTTGACTCTCGACAAGAGAGTAGGATATTCTCACTTCATTCCCAAAAATACCACGTTCAAACCTTGGAATGGCCATGGTGAAAAGGCACTGTTTTTCAACGTTTTCGAGAAGAGGGCTATACGAGATTGCATCCTTTGGCCAAAACGCAGCCCCGACATCTATGACTGGCACCACATCGACTGAGTATATCATGTTCTTGTAGACTGGGCCATTCCAACAGAGCTCGATGATGATTGACGGCTTAGGAGTGGCAATACTCGTGTCTGAGCTGGGAAGGACGAAATTGGAGCAGATTCGGCAATTTTGCCACAACTTGGAATCAAACATGACCTGCCTCACGATTTGCTGGAACTTGGACCTGACCAAATATGGCACCAGATATCCATCATTATCAAAGAATTCATTCACGCTCTCACAGGCATCAGCACTCTTCGCCAAACGTACAAAACCGGGTGAACATGTATCGTCTTCGATTACTCTGCAACTAGAGCCGAACGTTTCAAGCTTGCACATGAAATCAAACTCATCAGGCAGTCCAGCCTTGGTTCTTTCACGAACACTCCCTGATACGATCATTATCGACCGGAAACGAGGATCATAGTGGGCTACTTTATCAAGAATCTTCCCTATAAGGTTTTCCGTTTCCTGGCAAATTTGGGCCACTTCGTCACTTTGGAGTGATACTTTTCCTCTCCTCGGTGTGTGCAAAACATGTTCCACGTATTCCTCCACGTTTATTGGTGGGTTTATTTGAACCTCCTTCACATCCACTGAAACTGGCTCTTCCTTCTTTTCAAATGACTTATAAAAAGGGCCCTCACCTTGGCGTGAAAACTGAGCGCAAAGTTCGCAGGAACTGCTTGGCACCCTTCTCTCTTTTTTCAATGTTGGATGGCTCCCTCCGTACTTTTTAAGTTGATCGATCATTTCTTGGTTAAGCGTTGTCACTGCACAATCAATGACACTTTCCCCCAAACAGTTTGCTAACGTGACGTCAGTTACAGTGCCTGACACCCACACATAACAGGGCGCACTGGTGTTATTTGTAAATTCCGCATAGTGCATTGGTGTTGACATAAACTCGTCTTGTGCATTTATGTCCCATGGAACTTCACACCCTCCAAGCTTAAGCCCTTTGTGAGCTAAAACAATGTGAGCCAACGTCACTCCATTTTTTCGAGCACAATTCCAGTTGATCGCTTGTTTGACGGTGTCGTTACCTTCTATGCAGTCCCAAGGCCACTGAAATGTCGTCAGGCAATTGCGATCGCGTGTTGCAGTGACATGAACAGGGGTAAAGCCTTCCGCATCCTGCAAATTGATGTCTGCCCCAAGTGGCATCAACTCCTGTAATACTGTTAGCCATTTCTGATGGGCAGCTGCGTAACTTGCATAATGTACAGGAGAGCGTAGCATGTTATCTCTGACATTCAGGCTAGCTCCATGTTTAACTAAGACATCAGCGAATGATGCAATATCAGATTCTGATGCTTTTTTTAGCATCAACACGTGAAGTGGTGTCAGTCCTTGTTCATCTGGTATCATGGGATCTGCCCCATGCTCCAGCAATACTGTCAGGGTAGTCAAGATACCTTCCTTTCCTTCACGCGCAGAAACAGCGCCGCAACAAGCCATGAACAAGGGTGTCTGGTGCTTTTTGTTCAGGGCGTTGACCGCTACACCACATTTCAGCAGTATTTCCACTATTTCTTGACTGCGATATTGGCAGCAAATATGCAATCCGTTTTCCCCTTTTGCATTCGTGTGGTTGACATCAACTCCGTGATCAATCAGAATGTTTATCTTTGGCAGGTTCTCTGCAAACTCTTCTTCGTCGATACATCCATAAGCCATGCCACAAGCATTCAAAAAGGGGGTGTCACCAAACCTGTCTTGAGCATTTACCAGCGCTCCAGACTTCAGTAGAAGTTTAAGCACCTCAGGAGAAGCGTTTGATATGCATGCCATAATGTACAGGTGTCTTACCCAAAATGCTTGGATGATTCACCTCAGCGCCAGCATCGATCAACAACTTGGCGACCTCTTGAGACTGGCAGTAATACAAAGGAGACTTACCATCTTTGTCAAGAACATTCACATCACTTCCCTTGGTAATAAGGTGTTGTGTTACACCTGATCTATCTGTGGTTGATGCGATATGAAGTAAGGACCATCTACCTGTATCTTTCTTGACAGCGGCGTTTGGTCCAATTTCTTCAGAAACCTTTTGTATATTCGCCAGTGGTTCATCTTTGAAAAGTTTGCGTAATTGGTGAAAAGAGTATTTTTCCATGCTCATCAAAGTCTTTACTTTAAAACTTTAATTCTGCGAATTTCCTTGGGAAGCGCTGTTCCGTTTCAGCAAACCGATTGTGTGCTAAGATCGATCCCTGCACTCTCTTCGACTCCCAGGATATTACGCTATTACAAGATCCTTTTGCCGGACTCCAACACGATGAAACTCCTTGTAAAAATTTTAACTTTCAGGTTTGAAATAAGGTGTGTAATACGCGTATCGACGAACAGAAGACTCAGTCCGACAACTTCCGCCTTCGAAAGCGAAACCTGAGACTGCTGGGAAGTTTCACCACCTAGACCCAGACCCTTTTCAGTGTTCGTGTGCACCTTTCGAAGGAGGCGAAAACTTCACGTAAAAAGGGAGTCGTGTTTTATCAATCCTTATCGTGATTATTCTGCTTATTTACGTAAAATTAAGCATTTCTACATCGTAGGACTCGTAGGCTCGCAGTGACGGCAAAGAAATGTGCAAAACTATAAGTGTCCTGCACGTGCAAAGTTATTTTGCTAAATAAACCTACTGACTGCTTTTTGACGTTCTCGTTGCCGTCGCCGTCGTCGGATCTTAAGGACCTTAATCACCGAGGTAGCCCCTTTTATATTATGGGCCTGTAAAAAGGTTGCCAGGCAAAATAACTATCAATAAAATAAAAAATTGACTTTGCTCATGAGTACTTGAGAAAACATTTTCAACAAGCTGAAACTGCTCCAGCTACTTCATGTATCTCATTTGGTTATTTGTTCTTTGATTCAAAGAAGACACCAAACACAATGTTCAACCTGTTTTAGCGTTGTTTAGCATTTGCCTAGACAATGATAATACACTTTTGATCTCGTCCCTCGTAATTCAAATTATTCCCCCCAAAAGTCTGTTACTTTAATCGAGTCGAAAAACGTTGTAGGAATTCATAATATTCTGACCTAAGGGAATTTCTTCTCTTTAATTCATACGGTGCACATTATTTTGTCTCAAATGCATCCCTAGCCACTTCATTAAGCATTTTAAAAGAACGACGCCTTATTTAAGATAACCAGGCGGCATGTACAGACGGGATATTAAGGAGCTTAAGCAACAACGACAGCGACGGCTACAAAAACGTCACTTAAAAAGTGAATTCGCACCGCTTCAAACTTTATCGCGCTTATTCCATCTCGTTTACTTCGTCAAATGTTGGCAAATGTTCACGGAGTTGAATTTTAAAGGATTGTATCAAAGTTCTCGTCCTCGACAAAACGTGAATTCAGGCACTTTCACGTTGTAGTCGGGCAACGACAGCAAAGAAATGTACAAAAAAGCGTTATGCACCTGCAAAGTTGTTGTTTTGCTAATCAAACCTATTGCTTTTTTGCCGTTCTCGTTGCCGTCCGCGTCGTCGTTGCTTAAAAAGCTCCCTAATTACAATATACTCCACTACCGTCTATGCAGCAAAAAGGATTGGAACGCGCACATCCTTGAAGACCTCCGTACGGATTTCCCTTTCCTTCGTATGTCTTTTTAGATGGAGTGAACAATATTACAATGCTGTCATGGGAGGAGTGCAGTTATAACGGTCTTAGCCACAAGACCAACTGGAAAATTTGCATCACTTTTCACATAATTTTAATACCTTATATATTTAAGAAAACAAGTGTTTACGGAGGATCTAAGCTGCTACAGGGTTTCAAATTGATTCCTGTTGATAACATCTAGATGAGATTTTAAAAACGCACATCCCCTGGTAAGGAGAATCAAAGGCATTCTATGACGCACAGTTAAACAGGGCTAGGTCACTGAATTTTGGTGTTTGTTAAATACGAGCTATTTAACACTTCAAACTGTCAACCAACTCATGCGTATTTGCAAAATCGCCGCCACGTTGCTGAGATGCATTTTCACTACATTTCCATGCATTTTGAATGACACACTTGTTTTAGAAAATGAGATAAAGTCGAAAAAATCTGAGTCAACGTTTTCCGAGTTTACCGACTGACAACAATTTTAATCTCTTCCATTTGTGCCATCAATGAACCCCCACTGCGACACAACTTCGTATTTCTTCACTATCCAGGCATGTACAGTCCTAACAGATTATTTTCGTACCAACAACGGTTTTAAAAAAAAGTCTTCGATTGTGTGACCTAGCCGCTGTTACAAGGTGACACCTCCTCCCTTAAATTGCTATGGGAAGAATATGGCCAAAAGAATGGAGATACTGTGCATTGATCACGAGATTTAAAAATTGACAAAAGCACATTTTTTGTACAACTATAAGGTTCCGCTAAACACTATTACAGAAACGTTTACGAATTTGGGTTTAAGTGGAATATATTACAAAGTTATACCTCTTCCAGCGTCTACACAACATGCTACGACGTATCTCGATAATAAAACAAAAACTATGAACAAACACTAATATATGATTTGACTTTTTGTGGAGGCCCCAGTTGTTAAAAGGGTGGATAGCGCTATCCAATGGATAAATCACTATCCATTGGACAGTGCAATTGGTTTCCATAATACCTACCCGCTGGACAGCGATTTATCGGGTGGATAGGGTCATCCAGCGTTTGAACAACCGGGGCCAGACTATTTGAGAATAATAACTTTTTAGCCGCATTTTGATGCTAATAAAATAATAAAAATGTTACTGAGTAAAGTTTGTTTTTTCCACATCGTTATCATGTTTTCATGATGAACAAAATCGTCCCAAAATGATTTAAGATACAGTCAATGTTGAAAAGTTCACCACAATGCCAACTTTGATTTCGTGTTCAACCGTTGGGAAGTAAAATTTTATGAACTATAATACACTTCAATCACTTTGTACCCAAGCTGCTTAAACGAACTTGTCTATTCTGAAGATATGGTTTTGCTCTCGGACTTCAAAGATCTTCAAAATGATAACAGCAAAGACATGAAAGCGAAATTTCACTTCTTTACAAAAAAGTGGGCACCACCAGAAATGCCCACATCCTACAACATATTTAGAACTGGACAGAACAAAATTTGTCACTTACTACTACTTAATTAATAACCCATCCCGTTAACTATTAACCCCTTCACACTTAGACTGAGCTACGATGAGATGATTTGTCACGTGCACGTTTGCATCTGTGGACAAAATCCTATGATGTTACCATTTAAATGAATCCGCTCTCGCAATACTTTCACATGGTGCTATTTCTTTAGTAATAATTATGTAGTTCTAACTCTTGAATCTGTGGACAAAATCCTGTGATGTTTCCATTCAAATGAAACCTCTTCAGTAGTACTTTCACGTGGTGCTATTCATTTAGTATGTAGTTTTAACTTTCGAGTCTGTGGACCAAATCCTATGGTGTTACCATTCAAATGAAACCTCTATGGCGCAACTTTTGCATACTGTTCATTTCTAAGGATTGTACGAAAAGAATCCTTTCTTTGGCCACCATTAAGAGTGGGAGGACTAAGAGTAACCCAGGATCCACCACTGAGATGAATACAGTGAACCCTGCACCAGGCGGAACCCATGCTAGCTAGACATTTACCAGACACCAAGGCCATTAAGTCTAATCGTTTATCGCCCTTTTTTTTGTAGAAGGAACCTATATTAAGCAGAAACCTCCAGTAATGGTATCATGTGTGCTTGCTAAATACAGGTGTCAATTTACAACTACGAAAATAATATTTTTTGTTAAATGCACCTTCTCGGCAAACGTGGCACTAAGTATCTATTTGAAGAACACTCAAACTTCTATTAAGCCACCTCCTAATAAGCGGGCACCCTCTATTTACGCGGCCAGTTACCAGAGTCCAAGTGGATAAAATTATTAGTAAATTGCTGTCAACAGCAATTTACTGATAATTTCAGAAAAGCAGGCAACCTTAAGCACGCCGCCACTCCCTTCCACTAGGATGGCCTCTTCATAGAGATTTCATTGTATTAAATGGCTGCACAACAGCATTGTTACTTATTCAGGCTTTAGGGGAAACATCAGTACAGGTGAATTCATGAAAGCTAAATCTTCCAGCTGATCTAAAATATTCTTGGCTGCAGCACTCAGTTGAGCTTGTTTTTCCTGTGACGAAAGTGGAATCGTTACCCCTCCACGTTGCCAAACTTTCTTAGTGTCAGATGTCTTCTGAGGTTTTGGACTATCCAACTTTTGTTGATCCACTGAAGATAATGAAATGTTAAGCCCCAATAAGTCTTCTTCATAGAGACCTCTGGACGCTAAAAAATGAACAAAAGCAGGGAAAGAAGCTCCAACTAGCCAAAAACAACAAGTATACACAGCAGTCTGGCCTTCGGGTGCAGTCAATTTAACGTTCTTGCCTCCAGCCCTCCCTTCCCTCTGAATATATCTTGATAAGTATCAACCAAAATCTCCACTGAGGTTCTCAGTGTGACAGCGCCTGGCAGAGGCCACTCACAGGGTTGTCATGGTTACCTTCCAGGCTCACTTGCAGCTCCCTCAGTTTGACCAGGCACCTTCCCCACACACCCATCTACTGAACATGGGTTTTAAAGAGATCTAAAACAAGTTGCGGCTATATTGGGGGTATTTGGAGCGTTTTTTCCTTCTTGATCAACAATTTCCCAGGAACATGGTGAAGACCCGATGAATGAGGTAAAAACTTTTCAGCAGAAATTGAATAATAAGAAAAAATGCATAATGAATCAAATGTACAAGACAAGACATTATGAAATTAAATGAAGAAATAATCCTTGCACAAACAAAAGAAAAGAAATTTCAAGAAACCTGATTAATAGCATCTTGTTGCAGGTCCTGAATTTTTTTTTTTTTCAGATTCTGATTTATGATCTTTTTCTTTCCATTCTTAAAAATAACTGTAGGCATCCTTCTAGAATAATTTCAAAATAAGTTTAGGTACCTGTCTTTCCCTCTTGAGGCTGGCTTATACTTGGTGCAAAGAAATCAAGATCAAGTGAAGATGACTCAGATGTGGTATCTGATATGTTGTCTTTAACGTCTATCAAAATAAGCATAACAGGAGATTAAGCTTGATAAAGTGTTTTAGCTAAAAATGTACCTAATATACTATCTTAACTTATCTAGTCAGAAGTCCTTATTCACTGCAGAGTTATAAGAGAAGCAAGCACATACTAATTATAGATTTAGCCAGAGCTAAAAGTGAAGCTCCTGTTTATGCATTTTAAATTTACTGCAGAGAATGGACTTTTAAACTATTGAAAAGACCACAAATCTATACTTAACTTTATGTGAAAACCATACAACTGAAAAACATAAATTTGAGCCTGTGATCAATTAAAAGCTAACAACTGGTCAGCGGAAAACTTCAAAAAACATGTGACTTCAATGAGTTGGCACCTGAGCCCACGATACCATCATGTGACACTGGTCAGCGGATACATTTTTTTGACACTGATCAATTAACCATAACATGGATGTCTATTATCAGGTTAACACAGGTAACGAGCTTCCACACTAGCTAGAAAATTTGACATTTCACATTGGGTGCCCTGTGGTGTGGACGAACTGGTGGATGGGCGTACGGTCACATGATAACCCAAATTTCTCAGATGGATAGATAACCAATTTTTCTAAGGTATGGGACTCCCCTTGTTTGCGCACATGTAGAGCTCTACTAATAGTTTTACTACCAAGTTTCTGCTACAAGTCTAAACAATGAAAAACTTAGAAGGACCATTTGCCGCAAAACTCAAAGAGCCCAAAAATATTTATGGAATGTTATTGTGAGGCATGAGAAAACTCAACCAGGAGCAACAACAGTTATTAGTTTGTGGTTTTGTGGCTTGCTTGCGTGTCCCAATCTTTGTTTTGATTGGTTACAGGACAATAAACATCCCTCAAAATATTATTTCAGATGTTCATGCTTTTTTCAGTTTGACAGTAAAACTCTAATACTTTTCATAAATCAGATATTGTTAGGTTATACTACTGGAGGTGTCTCCTATTGCTTGCTATTATAGGTTTTTCCAGCAATTTCTGCAATAATGAAAATGCATACCTTCATCACTGACTAGTGATGAATTAACAGCTCAATACTTTTTTAACCATTAAATTAAAAACAGCATGACCCTATCCATCCTGCAGAGTCTTATGAATAAAGGAATTAATTTCACAAGAAACTGAGGTACTGCATTGGTGGGACAATAAAAAAGTTTGGTTTATTAACTGAGTTCTAAACGTAAATTGTACAGATTCAAAAGCTGACATTTTAAGGGCTATCACACAAGTTGCCTCATACATATAAAGCAGTCTTGATGAACTATGCAAACCTGATTGCTTCTAGTAACTTCAAAAGCTGTATCTTCAGAGTTGGAAAGTCTGGTTAAGAAGACACAAAAAACTGTTGCATCCTACACATTTAAACTTAATTGACTCGCTTACCTGGTTTTGAAGATGTGCGCTTTAGGCTGTTGCCCATTATAAACTGAAAACAGAAACAAACAGCTTTTAAAATTCAACAGCAACAGGCTGAATACCGATACCATTAGGTAAACACACTTCTACTGGCCTGTGATACTAGCCTGGGTTGCCAACAACAGTCCTGTTCAGGACCACGATCATGTGGATGATCATGCTCCATCAATTTATAAAATGACTCCTGGGTTCAAACCTTTCACAAAAAGTAGCTTTCTGTTTTTGACATGACCTATCAGAACTTAACGGAAGTAAACACTGCCACCACCCGATTAGTGATGGGGCAATTTTAAAAACAACTCTGTTCACACTTACACTAAGGTCAGGGAGGGCCATAGGATGACTTGAACCTTGCATAGATTCCTTGCTCTGAAGTGGGGATTGCACTGCCGCCTGTGATCCCTTCAGAGGCTCCAAAAATCCTTAACCCAAAAGGAAAAAAAAAAAGCAAAAAATAAATCATCCAGCCTTCAAAGAAAGTAGTGTCTGAGAGCCCAGGGCTAGTGGATTTTGCTATCGGGCTAGTGAATTCTGTTTTAAACTTGCCCAATGGGCAAGTGATATTTTTTGAGGAATTCGAATATTAACAGAAGAACTATGAAATCAATTCTGCTAGTCAAAAAGTTTTTGGGGCTAGTTGAAATGACATCTGGGCTAGTAAATGCTAGCTTCAGCTTGCCCAAATGGCAAGCTGTAAAAATGATTTTCTTTGTACCCTGTCATCACTTAGTAACTCTTTATGCAAAAGAGAAAAGCAACAGTCTTGATTGCTTTTTAACCACTGGAAACTGCAACTTTGGAAAAGAAAGCCATGGTCCTCTAATTCTAAAACAAGAGACGGTTAGACCTCATTACTTAGTGAGCTCATGAATATTGTAAGAATGTAAAGAGCTTACAGGAAACGATCCTGTGACTCAAAATACCTGATATACAGTATTGTGAGAAAATACAAAATGTATAATAAGTTAGCCCGAACTTACCAATTCAGATGTAAACTGTGGCATTTTGCTCACTGGGGCAGGCATCAACAGTGCTCCAGGCTGTGAATAGATCCCACACATTACAATTAATTTATGTTATACCACAGAAGTGACCATAGACTGCCTGTATAATTAACTGGCTGCCTTGCTAAATCGAGGGTGGGTGCCTGGGCCATCCATAGGGCTCCACTGTAGCAAGCCAGCAGCTAGATAGAATCTGCCCCCATGGCTGGCAAATCCCTGCAGACCAGCAATGGCTCCCATTCCCACTCATCACACTGATGAATCAGTGGAAGGGGACATAGAATGAATATAAGCCGCTCAAAGACATCACAGCCGCTATGAAAACCACTAAAGAAACTTGACGATCCTGATTGTGACAAAGCAACAACATTCCATGTGAGCCTGCACTTGTGAATTTGACTGCTGACCGGCCGAGACTCGTAAGCTCATAGTGGTTACCTTTGTTATATTTTTCATTTAACTGAATCATATGAGAGTGGTATGATATGTTTGTTAATTGATACATGCATGTGCAAAATGAGAAAGATATACATGTATGGGATAATATAGGTTATCTGGTGTCAACGTGAGATCCAACTTGGCATTTTTATTACTACTTAGTTTCGTACCACATGGCATGTGCGACCCTCCTCAGATAAAATTGCCAACAAAAGGTTTGTTATAACACACACTACAACTACAAATGCACACTCAAATTTAACTAAAAATTATTATGCGGCCATGGAAAATGTAAAGCTGCTACGAAGAAATTTGCACAAATGCCTGCAGGAAGTTACAAGCTCACCAGATTGGGTTTGCAAATGATAAAATATGTGGGATATGTGTATGACATTGTGATTTTTTTTTTTATCATGTCAATAATCTTGACAATGAAGATGAGACTCAATAATCTTATGACTAGTAACTTACTTGTCCTCCTCCAAAAGGTGGGAACTGTGATGACACTATCGGTTTTAACATTGACCCCACCTAGAATGAAAAAAAAAGTTTTAGAGGGTTATTCTGCCATGAAGGAGAGGTTTGCTAATGTACCTGGTGGTACTTTTCTACAGTATGGTGCTATTTATATTTTTGTCATAAAATGAATGAATTTATTGCAGGTGGTGGTAGGGGTAATGCTTATCTCTGAGCTGCACTGTATATTTTCATTGGATTTTAATGGGTATTAGGCAGATTTACAACATGAAAATGCAGTGGCAGTGATAACAGCATACACAGTTTCAACAATCATTTTGACTAATGGCAAGTGGAAAATCAGTCATTGAAAGTAGCATTCACTCCTTTCCGTGGACCTTTTATTTCGAATTTTCCATTGTAATGTTGTTTCTAAATCTGTCTATCTTTGTACTTGGCAGCCTTGAGGTGAAATGGACTGATAATGTAACATAACTATCAAAAGATTAATACATTTAGTTAATTAATTACTTAATTAAATTACCACTTAACAGTTAATGATAATTATTTTTTAAAGATGCACTTGCCAGTAAATAGTGAGTTTTTGCAACAAGACAGCAAAAAGAAGAGGATGGCAAAATGCTTGTGTGTTACAAACGTTACAGGCCTATTACTTGAGCATTTTTTGTGGTGATCTTCACTTATTGTTAAGATAATCTTTCCTGGTCTTTTACAAAAAGACCTGTTTAAAGGAGGGTGAAGTTCGGCGGACAAGTTTTTCAAACAAAATTATTGTCACGCTTGTCACACAAGGTTTGCCGTCTTCTTACCTCTCCCGTCCTGTTGCGTAAGCTCACTAATAATTACCTGAAGAGGGGGAGGTCTCTCTGGGCAGATACACAGTGACAAAAACTTCTTGTGCTGGCTAAAAGAATTAGACCAGCTGAACAGAATTTGGCCCTCATTTTCTGCATGCTCAAGATGTTGCCATAGTTCTTTGTTGCTGAAGCAAAAAATATTATATATGTCTTACATGTAAGAAAATGAACACTTTCTATGTATAAAGTAGGTACAGTATCAACCTGAAACACAGTCAAAATAATTTTCTTGAGCACTAGAGAAACATTATGTAACAGCTAGTGTCCCCTTTACAGGGATCAAAAAGTGCCGTCTGGTTGTCTGGGACATAAACAAGTAGAATTTCCTACCAGGCAAGCAAATTTTCATTTCACTAGAAGAATGCTAATGGTAACTCATGTTGTCTATTTCAGGGGGGTATCCATCCTATAGAAATGCCCATTAACCCTTTAAGCCCTAATATCCACATACAAATTCTCCAAACTGATCTCTATACATTTCCTTTAAGAATTAGTTAAGAGAAATTGATAAAAGATCAAAGTATTTTCTCTGAGTTGATCATTTTATTAATTCTCATAACCTAATCTCATGACAATGTATGGATATCATTAGGAGAAATTTGCTGTTGGTCACTATTGGGACTTAAAGGGTTAACATAGACCTCATTGTCTTCATAGCTTTAACCAGTTAAAACAATGTAAACTTCCTGAAAAGAAGGGAGGGGGAACTGACAGGGATGATCAAAGGATTTTGGGGGGCTTGAGGTTTTCCTCATTTTTAGGAACTTTTTGGGCAGGAAAATTGATTTAAGTAGGGTTCTGGGGGGTATTTAAACTAATCTAAAGATTAGTGTAGTGCTGCATGCCTTAGCCAGCATTGCAATAAAAAAACACAAACATTCAATTTCTACTTATTTTTGAAATGTTATATACTTTTAGTTCTTTATGGAAAAATTTTATGGCTCAGTAATACAGCATAGGATTTCTTGCAGGTTAACTCTTGGTCAAGGGGATTTTTTGGGTTTCGTTACAAGCCCCGGAGATTTTTTTGGGGTTTGATTTTGCCCTCTTTTGATTATCTCCATCACTTTAACTCTGGAGTAGCCCCCCTCCCCTCTTTCAGGGGTAAGCGTCTTTGTTTCTCTAGTCAAAGCTAGTGACAGCTTTCATTACTCTTCAAGAAGACAACTCTACACATTCATCTTACCTGTGTAAACTTTTCCCAACACGAGAGGATAAAATGGTACACTGTGAATTGAACTTGTTTTTCAGTTGTGAGGTAAAACACACAGAAATAGAATCTCTCGCCTGCTTGATCATAAAATTGACGCTAGGGCTGAAATGTTGCAGTATTTCTGTTTTTTGTTGCTTTATTCTTGTGTTTTTGTCAGTGGAAGCACCTAAACTAGCTGTCAAGTTAGAGTTAGAGCTTGAGAATGAAGCAAAACCACCAGACTTGTTTTCCTTTCCATGACTGAAATCCCCAAAGTCATCATCAGTTTGTTTAGCAGTACTTAAATTCTTTGATTTGGAGTCAAATGCACCAAATTCATTTGTTTGGATGTTTTGCTTCAGTTCGCCTTTGGTATTGGAAGCTTTAAAACCTTCAAATTTTTGTTCTGAAACTCTTTCTTCTACTGTCTCAAAACCACCAAAATCTCCACAATCATCATCACCACCATCCTTTTTAATGGAATCCCGGGACTTAAATGCACCAAAATCTCCAAAGCCAGACTGGGCATCTTGTCCAAAATCCTTGGTATTTGATTCAAAACTTCCAAAATCCCCAAAGTCATCACCATTTTCATTATGCCTTTCAGAATCTTTGGCATTTGTCTCAAAACTTCCAAAATCTCCAAAATCGTCAGTATTTTCATCCTTCTCCTGAACGCGTTTGGTATTTGATTTATTACCATCAAAACCTCCAAAGTCATCATTACATTGACCATTATTTAGAGAATTTTCTACACTTGACTCAAAAGTTCCAAAATCTCCAAAGTCTTTTGACCTTTCATTGTCTTTTTTTTGAGAATCTTTGATATTTGACTCAAAACTGCCAAAAGTCTCAGTGTTAGCACTACTGCCATCACACCCTTTTTGAGAATTCATGGCACTTGGTCTAAATGAATCAAAATCTCCAAAATCATCACTGTTTTGACCTTCAATTTGGAGTGGTTTTTCTTCTAAATCTGAAGCACTACAACTCCCAATGCTGTTATTCTGGTCCTTATCCTCACGAGTATCACTGCTGAATGAATCAAAGGCACCAAAACCTCCAAAATCATCTTTATCCTTTTCTTGATTAGACATAGGTTTGGGCTCGGAATCAACACTGCCAGTTCTTTCTTCTTTTTCACTGTGGTTTACTTCAAATGCACCAAAATCTCCAAAATCATTGTCAGTGTCCTTATCCTGTATAGCTGATGCTTTAGCAACAAAAGGATCATTATTAACTTTTGATTCAGTTAGTTTGGCATCAACTGTAATGGAATCACTTGATGTCTCATCTTTTTTACCATGTTTCTTTTCAAAAGAGCCAAAATCCCCAAAATCATCATCATCATCACTATAATATTTATTTCTTGTGGATGCAGTTCCAACAAATGAAGAATCACCCTTCACAACTTCGTCATTTTCCCCTTCAGGTGCTACTGGTAAAATGTCTTTTTGCACAAATTCATTACGACCACTAGATTGTTGTAAAGGCATGTCATTACAGTCAGCAAATTCTCCAAAATCATCGCCGTTACACAATTCAGAAGGTTCTGGCGATAACTTGGCTGCATCCTTTTCAAGGGTGGTATAATTCTGTGAGTCCACGGTGTTGCACTTTTTCCCAGTTAGTTGTTCCCCATTAGTAGATTGTTTTATCCTAGTGCTTCCGGAAGACACACTATTAGTATGAGCTCCTTCCTCGGTGTCAGCCAATACAGTTGTAGGGATTTCACTACTGGTCGCTTCTGCCGATAAGCTATCCAGCTGTATTGATTCTTGATCTCCACGATTACTACCAACAAAACCTAAAAATCTCTCTGAGGACACATCTGGAGCAGTGTCCTTCTCTGTTTTAAACTCGTTGTTCTGTTCAGACAATGATTCCTTTAGAATGTCACAGTCCTTTTTACTATCGTCATGAAACAATGCCTTTGTATTGACATCCATGGTTGAATCTCCATGATGGGCAACTGATTTCTTATCAGCTGTTTCTCCATTGTCAACATCTTTCACTGCAGTCACTCCAGGGTTGGTGATAGCATTCTCTGTGGTTGCAAAATCACCAAAGTCGTCATCAGATTCTAAGTCATAACTGCCATTAATGCTACTATTTGTAAGTGCACTTTTATTAACCCAATCACTGTCTGAATTTCCCTGATGAGAACTCCCATTAGGTAAGCTTTCCTGTATATTTACACTGTCTTCATTTGTCTGAAATGCAGCAAAGTCGGCGTCATCGACACCATTTTCCACATTATTAGAAGGACCTTGTTGGCTGCTTTTTGCATCCCAAGATTGGAGAGATTTTTCACTATTGTCATGACCAGTGAACCAGTCTCGCGATTCACCACTGCCATTGCCTTGTCCAAAAGCTGAGCCAAAATCCGCAAAACTAGCAAAGTCCCCGAAATCTGACTCTTCGTCGCCTTCTTCCGTGTCGTGTTCATTTTTGGCCTTTTGAACACTGCCACCTAATTTTGATTTCTCCGTGAATTTTTCTTCGCTTGACCGGGTCTTCTTCACTGGCGATGCAACAGGTTTCTCGCCATACTTCTTTGATTTGTTTACATCGTTTCGGAAAACGATTTCATTGTCATCTTCGTCGAATGTGTCGTCAAGAGGTGGCGGAGCATCTGCAAGGACAGTCGAGAAATTCGATCCATACAGGTCCGAGTTATTCACTCCGTAATACCAAGCCATTAATAGCTGAATAAACTACTCGCCGGGAAGACAGATTTCTCGCGATATTTTGGTTTCTATTCCTTTCAAATTTTCCTGGTTGATAAATTTCATTTTGTTGAGTATACCCTTGCCTATGTCACAATATTAATATTGCTCTTGAGTTCTTCAGCCACAGTTGAGGAAATACATGTATAACTGGGAAGAATTTTGAAACAGCGGCACAGTGATAGTCTTCTACGGTCCTATTTTCCACGGTTCGCTTGTATGCTATTTAAGTTAATCCCACTCGTAACTTCAAACAGCATCAGTCAAGGGAAAACAAATTATTTTATCGCCACTTACTCAAAGAGATACTACCGGTTGATCAAGCGCCATTTTCTTGTCCCGTGATGCCTCGCTTTCATTCACAGCCTCAGGGGGAGTAGGGTAGGTGTGTCTCATTGTTCGCAAAAACCTATATCGCCAACACGCAAAATCCCAAAAGAAGCACGAAAGATTTTCTCCAGATCATAAGGTAACGTTTGTGGGCTGAGTCCCAGTTCATGCTGCCTGCGAATGCAGACGAATTTCCAGTCATCACTTCCCTCCTGGTTCTTAAGAGCTAAACTGTCATTGGCTAATAATGTCCTATGTCACAGAAATCATTTGGCGGGTCAGGTTCACAGACTTTATTTTGTGTCAACCGGAAATACATCTGCTTTCACAGGCTACAGTTCATGGGACTCAAATCCTGCTCTCCAAGTCCAAAAAAATGAAAACAGGGAGACCTTTACCCTAACACTTGGGAAGGGCACTTTCATGTGAAAGGGACAAAGTAGCGTGCGTAGCAGGTGCTTGGAAGTAGTGGGGACAAGAAATGACAGGCACATGAGAGAGAGACACGCGAGGGGAGAGGAAGCCTCTTGTGCGCCCACTACATCCAAGTGCCTGCTATGCAGGCTAGGGACAGAGATGTCTGTGGTCTTGCTTAGTGTTCAGTTCAAAATGCCAATGCTTTCTCCCATACAAATTTTGCCTAGGGCTGTGCATTAAAATAATTTTAAGAGGAGAAAATTTAAATAAAAAAAGGAAAGGAAAAGAAAAAAAGAACAAGATCAAGAATGATTCAGTTAAGACATCTTTATTGAAATATTAAAGTATATGCTGTAGCTCTATCTATCTTAAAAAAGTTAATTAAAGGTCATGAGTACATAAATTTTTGGACACAAGCAGAATGCACACATCTTAATTGGGTCAGTTTAAACTTAAAGAATTAAAATATTTAATGAAAAAGGTTAGTCAAACAAGAACAAAGAATAATTCTGGTCACATGGGACAATTATTGTCCCATGTGACGAAGTTCAAACTATGCTTTCATTCTATACTTATTCTTATGTAAGGACTGTTTAGACAGCAAAAAAAATAGAACTAGACAGGTTATTTTTTCACTGTTGTGACAACTTTCTTTGTAACCATTTTGAAAGCAAAAGCTATTAAAAAACATTAGAAGGAAAGATTGAACTACATATTTGTGTAAAATTAGGTGTTCAAAAGCTCTAATATTTATTATATAATGTGTACAAACTGACTGAATGTCCAGCTACCAATAAATTAGCTTGTTGGTTCAGTTGGTTGGATCACTGCACCTGAGTATTAAAGAGATCAAGGGTTCTAATCCTGTACAAGCCTGGGTTTTCACAGGCTTCCTTTTTAAAACTGCAAAAAAAAGCGATGATCCTCTTTACATCTCTAATAGGTGATAAAACTAAAACCGAAGAAGGATTTACCTGCAGACAGTACTGTTTCGGCCTTCTGGGCCTCATCAGTGCAGTGCTGATTGCTAGGATGGAGGTTAAGCTATAAAGCCACCCCAAATGATCCCAAAAATGTGGTATCATCTTAGCCATTCCAGAGTGCTCCAACTAGCAAACTAGTATATATTATTATATATTTCTTATTTTGAAATTTAACAATCATAAATGTTACATGCAAACTAAGAAATGTTTTGTATCTTAGATACATGACATTGCATTGCACTGATTTTAGCTACAGTTGATCCTCTATTCAGTGGCCACCTATTAAGCGTCTTCCCTCTCAAGTCCCATAATTGTAGAAAAGAATGGGAAATTAAACTTCTATTAAGTGGCCACCACCATTCACCGACCGCTGCCACCTTTTGGCCATCCCAACGAGAACTCTCCATAGTTGTCACCCCTATTTAGAGGCCACCGAGTGCTTGATACACAACAGTTTGGCTTCACTTTAAGTATATGATGAAGAAAAATACAGTCCGAGATAGAGGGTGACGCGCGATTATAGACCAGTACTGCTTTTCCCACCGGACGTTTGTTTCAAAATAAGGTGATGTTTCTGCTAAAGATTGTAAACGCTAATTTATGACAACCCTCTGCCCAACCTCCATTAGGCAGCCACTTGCTGATACCCTGAGGGTGGTCACTTTATAGAGGTTCAACTCTATATAGCTGAGTACGTCCTGTTGTAAAATTGATATTAATAGAGTACCGAAGTGATGACGTCATAAAAATGAAATTTGTGAAATTATGGGATTTGTTAAGCTATTCTGAAAGAACAACGTCCAAGACGCCTACTCGCCAAAAATTAGCAATTTGGGGCAAATTGTCTCTGAGATATTAGCCCAGTTATGCTCCGATGACTCCATACAAATCCTTCTAAATTTGGCTTGGTTCATAAGATTAGGAACCAGGTAAGATTTAGAAGGATTTGTATGGAGTCATCGGAGCATAACTGGGCTAATATTTCAGAGGCAATTTGCCCCAAATTGCTAATTTTTGGCGAGTAGGCGTCTTGGACGTTGTTCTTTCAGAATAGCTTAACAAATCCCATAATTTCACAAATTTCATTTTTTATGACATCACACTTCGGTACTCTATTTGATAAAATAAGTTGGCCAGCGTTACACACAGGTGTTGGTCTGCAAGTTGAAGTAAAAGTAGAGGCATGCTTTACATCCTGGTGTCAGATCTCTAAACAGCTCCTGGACTTGACTAGATGACATACCCTTTTGGAATTCCTGTAGAAAGAGATATGCAACAAAACGGCATATTTACATTTATGAAATTGGAACAAATTACGTAAATCTTGAAATGTGAGGAAAAACACATGACTCTCTGCAGATTGCAAATGCAAAGAGTCTTTGGATGCTCACCGCTAAATCAACCAGGAGTAACTCTGATGACTCATAAGTTTCAGGGCCTCCCTTGTTGTACAGCTGTTTGATTTCCTCACCACTTAAGGAGCACCTTAAGAAAAACCAGACAGTTACACATGGGCCACACCCACTTTGAATGGTGGTAGCTTAATATACAGCTATCTCGAGAAAGGTTGTCGGAAAAATGTGCACTCGACAATCCTGAAAGGTAATATGGGATATGATCGTACACTGTTTCTGACGACTTTAGCTGTCAAACCTACTTTTGTTGCTTTCCTTTAGCACTCGCAAACACATTTTCATGGCCTTTCATGCCAATTCTTTCAAATTTCTCTGAAGAACAGTGAACTCACAACCACCCACAATGCCTTTTGGGATTGTCGCGTGCACTTTTTCCGACAACCTTTGTCGAAATAGCTGTATAACCCAGCCATTGTAGAGAACCTGTAAGACAGTGACCTAGCAGTGTTTGGTGGTCGCTTATAGGTTTGACAGTATTTTATTTCCCCAGCATTAAGGCCCCTCAGCTGCAAGCTAATTCAAGTTCAGCACCAAAAATAGAAATGTGGGCTACTATACTATTAATACATGTAGCACAGGCACAGAACAGGAGAGCACCTGGTAAATTTTGGATGGGTGTGTGCCTCAAAGGTTCTTAAACCTAGCTTGTTCCAATAAATTAAAAGGAAATAAATTTGAAATTGAAAACCTACTAAGGCCCAGAAACAAATCAAAAGGTTCCTCTGGCTAACTCATGGATTAATAATATTACTTTAAAAATGAAAGCTGATAATGAACTTGCAGTTAATCTACCTGTATTATTTAAGTCTGTCAAAAAATGAAAATATGTAAAAAACACTAAACGAAACTAAGAAAACAAAAGCAAAATGACCACAAAAAAAAGCAAGAAAAAAAATGTTTGGTGGGGGTCTAAACCCCACACCATTAACATGTAAGGTCATCACAATATCTATTGTGCCACGGCACCAAGTGTTGAACATTTGTGTTAAATTAATTATCTTTACCATTTTTGCCCATGAAATTGTGCAGGTAGATGCTGTTTGAACCTAGTAGAGCTTTATTTATGAAGAATTCAAAGATATAGATGAGGAAAGTAAGCAGGTTTTGATGGTAAAAGCTGTACTTGAACTCATTTCATCGCATTTGAAATGGCTGACAAAGCAAAACTAGTGCAAAGTCTCTTGCTAAGGGCATTGTACTGCATTAACATGAGAAGAATCAATTACGATTCAGCAACAAAGAAACATTTCATTTCAGAATGTTCCCAAAAAGCAGTGAGATTGAGAGTCCTGTAGTGAGGCCGTCAGAAAAGTTAAAAAATCGTGAGGTTGGACCACTTGGGGAGTCAAAGAGCAATTGCTGATCTCTTCATCATGTTTGTCACCTGGACAAGTCAAAAAGCTTTATAAAAGGTTCATTAACTTCAGTCTCAAAGTTGGCCATAGTGCTAATTTGAAACATTCAAAGTCCACATGAAAACAACATCGTCCTATGGAAGCTACAAAATCATAACATCGAAAACTCTGGGCACAATGCACACCCAGCACTTCTTTATCACCGGGACGTTTGGGAATGTTCGATCTGCGACACTTGTCATTTTGATATCGGGCACTTTTGCGTGAGCCGACTAATTACTAACAAAGTGTCTACACCTGAGCGACACATTTACATATCACAGTGCCCACAACAACACTCTTTCCTTACGGTACGTTTAATCCACAAGTTAAAAATGACACCGTACATAAGGGAAAACTGATAATGCAAAATGGACCTTGAACAAGTGGTTTTTTTGTTCTCCTCACATAGGAATTGACAGAAGATAGAATTTTAGAGTAAATCTTTTGTAGTTGAATCATTTTGTTAGCATGTCAAGGAGGTTTATGTTCTTTACAGTGGCTCAGGTCCTGTGATTTTAGGTTCCTTATCAAAGGACCACAACTCATCAACACCAAGAAGGATACTTGCTCTCTCTATATATTTTAAGGATTAAGCACCTAAAAAAGCCTGTACCATATCCTGTGGCTAATTAACAATTATTCCTTGAGTCCGAATGGTCTCTGAGTCAATAGCCCATGAGGCCGAAGGCCGAATGAGCTATTGACTCAGAGGCCATGAGGGTGAGAAGAATAATCATTTTAGTAAAATCCAACTACCGGTAGTTGGTCAAAAATATCAAGAATAAAAAAGTTTTAGCTAGTTAAAGCTAGACTTTAATCCTTTTTTGCTGCCAAAAAGCCTGCGCTTTTCACTACTAGTGGGATAGAACATATAGCCTAGTAGTAGCTCAACCAATCAGAATGCAGCATTGATAATAGACCACTAATTGGATTTTACTAATACCTATTATAGTCCCCCTTATAACTCTGACTACAGATAAACTAGATAATATTGTTGCTAATTTAGAATCACATTTCAACCCTGTACCTGATTTTGAAGCATGCTCCTGGTTTATTTGCAGTCATATGATTCCTGTGTATGCCTATTAGCAGTGGCCAGTCAAGATATTCTTCTGGGATATTTACCTAGTACAATAATGTAAATATCAACTTCAACTTTACTCATAAAAAGACATTTTGCAATAGACTGACCCACACATAACAGTTCCTAATCTACGCATGCCAGGTTTAAAGAGTTAAAGGGAAGGAAATATAATTTTTAAAATACAATGATATTATTATTAAAAGGTTGAATTTGATCGTCCGGGTGAACGTAGTCCTGAATAGGACTGTTGTTGTTGACAGTGACTGACGTTTCGACAACCTGTGCGGTAGTCATCTTCAGAGTCAAAGTGAGTTATGTCACGTCAGTTGATGGTATTATACTCTGGTAATTGATCTGATTGGTCAATTATGTCGCGATGTTATTGGCTGTCTGTCAGTTAAGCCGTGATGTTATTGGCTATGAAGACTCGTAATCAGTGATTGGTGCGTTTCGATCCGTCTATTGTCACAGTTAAACAGTCGTCTATTGTTAGTCAAATTGTCAGTTCTCCAGTTGTTCTCTCGTAGTTAGGTTTCCTTGATCTCGTCAATAAGTCGTTTGTACGGCGCTGGTAACTGTTGGCTACGATTCAGTGGCGTTTGTTCTAAGTTAGTAAACCAGCTTTCTAAAGTAAGACGTTGATAGTAGTCTGTAGAATACGTTATACATGTCGCAGAGTCCCAGTCAATTTGATGTTTCATCTTTAAATGGTGCTCAGCAATGTGATTGTTGACGTCACCATTCCTCGTCGCGCGTTTGTGTTCGGTCAGTCGCGTGCTTAGGTTTCTGCCGGTTTCACCAATATAAGAAGCCTGGCAGTCGCAGCATTTGACCTTGTATACTGCTCCCTGTCTGTCCTCCGGTTTGTCTTTGTCCTTGACATTAGTAAGCAGTCGCCGTAAAGTGGTTATCGGTTTGTGCGCAACACGTATATTGTAAGGTTGTAATATACGTGCAATAGTTTCAGAGGTGCCTCTGATGTACGGTATAGACGCTGTCGTAACAGGGCCAGAGTTTGTCTGAGAGTTGGAATCAGTGTTACTGTGAGTGTTCCGTTTAACAAAGTCCGTGTTGTAATTGTTCTTACTAAAAACGTTGTTAAGATAATCAGTCTCGTCTTGTAGGCTGTCATGTGAGTCGCAAACTAGTTGCGCTTGTCTTGTCAGAGTCCGGATAGTAGTAGCCTTGTGAGATACCATCAACTGACGTGACACAACTCACTTTGACTCTGAAGATGACTACCGCACAGGTTGTCGAAACGTCAGTCACTGTCAACAACAACAGTCCTATTCAGGACTACGTTCACCCGGACGATCAAATTCAACCTTTTGATATGACTCCTGGGTTCAAGCTTTCACACGATATTATTATTGTAAGTACAGAGATAGCTTCATTATTATAAATTTATTACACTGAACCACTGATCATGAGACGTGACACAGAAGAAATTAGATACAAATAATCAGAACAACAGGAGCACCAGTTAAAATGCTGAAACTAAGCTCCTTTAAAAAGAACCCCTAGGGTCTTCTAATTGGGAGTAATTTTATTATTGTCTTCAAAAATTAACATAAAATGAACCATACTGTAATGGACATGTACCCAAACAAGTCTAGATGTCAGTTTTTAACAATTATTATTGCATCAGATTCTCTATGAATGTTGTACTTTTTAACCCATTCGCTCCTGGAGATTTTGCCGAAAAACGCGTTTTGAAGCTAGTCGAGTGGTTTTCTGGTCACTGTCGTGCTATAAAGAGCTAAAACTTACTACAAACCGGTTTACAGGTCGTACACTTCGCGGGCCTTCCGATCCAGATGCAAAATATCAGCTTGCGAAGTTCGGGCATGCGCAGAAAGCAAAATTTCGAGATTTCGCTTTCTCTCCTCCCTTCTTTTTTCACTTTTCTTGCCTCATTTTTTTCTCTTTCTGGGCATTTAGTAGGCTTCAATTTGGTGGGAAGGGTTTTTAGGAAAGCTTTTAGGATCTTAGGATTAGGTGAAAGGAAAGGTAGGTGGGTAATGGAACAAGATTTTCATGGAGATTTTCAGATCAATGTCACGTGGTTTTTTGCTTCTTTCTCCGGTGTCCTTGACTGAATTGTGCTCATTCTGGTATGGTTTGAAAGATCTCTTCACTCTGCACAAGTTAGCAAAGAAAGTTGTCCTTGACCGTTAAAACTGATGACGTCACAAAGGGTAGAAAGGACCTGGATCCGCACGGGCGGTTACAGGCGGTTCAGGGGCGAATGGGTTGATCAAAAAACCTAAAAATGGCCTTTTACCACCTTTTTCACCTGATTTTACATGAAATAGACAGATTTGGTTGTTTTATGCTGAAAAGTGGATTTTTTTCAAAAAGCTTGGTACTTTGCTTAACCCATTCGCTCCTGGAGATTTTGCCGAAAAACGCGTTTTGAAGCTAGTCGAGTGGTTTTCTGGTCACTGTCGTGCTATAAAGAGCTAAAACTTACCACAAACCGGTTTACAGGTCGTACACTTCGCGGCCTTCTGATCCAGATGCAAAATATCAGCTTGCGAAGTTCGGGCATGCGCAGAAAGCAAAATTTCGAGATTTTTTGGGAAAGTGACACAGCAGTCTTGACTTTTACTTTTCGCTTTCTCTCCTCCCTTCTTTTTTCGCTTTTCTTGCCTCATTTTTTTTCTCTTTGTGGGCATTTAGTAGGCTTCAATTTGGTGGGAAGGGTTTTTAGGAAAGCTTTTAGGATCTTAGGATTAGGTGAAAGGAAAGGTAGGTGGGTAATGGAACAAGATTTTCATGGAGATTTTCAGGTCAATGTCACGTGGTTTTTTGCTTCTTTCTCCGGTGTCCTTGACTGAATTGTGCTCATTCTGGTATGGTTTGAAAGATCTCTTCACTCTGCACAAGTTAGCGAAGAAAGTTGTCCTTGACAGTTAAAACTGATGATGTCACAAAGGGTAGAAAGGACCTGGATCCGCACGGGAGGTTACGGGGCGAATGGGTTAATAAAAAAATTAATGTGCAATAGTTTAAACTGTGCTATACACCATTTTTAACAAAGCGTAAAGGTAATTGCTCTGGTGTTTGAAGTTGGCAGGATCATGGGGTTAATATTTTCGCAAAAAATTGCCATTGCCCCAATACTATCATGATTTGAACATTGTAAAATTGCTGACACAATCTTCCCTTCAAATTAATAACAATGATTGGGATTTTGGCAAACAAATTGTTCTCCCATAAGAAGCGCCTATGTATATACCCCTCCATATATAAGTCCATTAAAAAAACCTTTGAAAAATATAATCTCTGGAGCTTATTTTCAGAATTTTATGGTGTGGCAGTAGTTGCTAATAAAACAATAGTGAATCTTTGGCGCATTAAAAATTTAGCTTGCCCAAACAGAAAAACAAACTTTTAACAAAGATGTGACCATAGACATGAACTTACAGCCACAAACAATTATGCACCCTGCACTTACTTCATCTCTGACTTCTCGCACAATGGAGTGAAACAACTCATATACAACTGCCTTTTCATCCATGTCATCTAAATCAACTGATCTGTTCTTGTCAAACTTGCCATATTGAAGTTTAACTTCCTGAAAACAGATTGTCAGAATTAGGATAGCCTGACAAGTTCTGTGACAAGTGCAATGGATGTTTCAATAATATTTATGCATGAGCCTATGCATATGATATCAGTGAAAGGTGCGGGGCATCCTCGGAGACCCAAGGGCTGTCAGCATGCTAGAAAACGTTTGCTGTGCCTTGTCTCCCGACTGACTGCTGTGGATCTTTGAGGATAGTCTAGGAGAGGCAAAAAAGTAAAAAACCCATCCCCTTGACGCCTCTTCATCACAATTCCTGAATGAACAAGAGTCCCCTTTCCTTGAAGACTAGTCTCAACAACTGGATATCATGCCACACAGGTGACACAGAACAACGTGGTGACAAGAACAAATGCAAACATTTTCACTTTTTGGCTATTCTTCATTGCCACCTTGTGATAAATACAAATGTTTTTGTTAATGGTACATGTGCTAATGTTCATGTTTGTATTGTCTGCGTATCCACTTGGACAAAATGCCATGAATATTAGCACGAGGAAATTTAAATTATACTAGTCCAGTTCCTTTTCTGTGCTTGTGCTTATGCTTATATCACTACAAAGACAAAACAGAAACAAGTATGAAGTGGTCCTGGGCAGGCAAAATGTGACAGCTGCTTACCCAAAGGACAGGTTGGAATTCAAGGTTTTTTTTTTTCGAGACCTGTTTACAACATTATATGTGTGAACCAGGGGTCAATTTAATAAACCTTTTACAAGTGTAGCTATTGTTTTCAGACTCTTAAACAATGGCTACACTTGTAAATTACAAGTGTAAAAGTTTTATTAAATTGACCCCAGCCTTATCCAAATAACAAATTCAGACCATCTATCCTCTGCCCTTATCCCAGTAGGGGTATTTTGCAGAACACCAAATGGCCGCTGAACGCCAAATGACTCTGAAGTTTAATGATTAGGGTTTGGAAACTGAGTGAATCAGGTTCCAGTTAGGGTCATTATACTGGGCAAAATGACCTGAAACTTGACTCGCTAAGTTCCCTAACCATTATCATTAAAATACAAAGTCATGAGAAGTTCGGTGGCCATTGGGCAATCTGAAAAATACCTGTTCCCCTCATCCCTACATACACTTGGTTCTGCATGTCCTCCTGGTGTGTCCAAGCGCCCAGGGTCTTCATAAACTTGATGACTTCTTCTGATAAAAACTAACTTACCATCACTCGTTTCGACAACAGATCCAACTCCTAACGCATCAGAAAAACAAGCATGTTCGTTGGCATATTCCGATTTCCCAAATTCATTCAAAAATATCCTTTGACTGTTGTTCATATTTGTGCAAATAAAATCTCTATAACACGTTTGTCCTAAAAGCAAAGTCACTGGTTTTCCATCCTCGTGGCCTACGCCAAAAAGACGAAATTTCGATCCGTTGAAAAGGAATGGATTTTTTTCTCTACGTAATGCCCATGTCTTTTCTATCTCAGATTCAAACTGTTCATTACATGGCTTCCTATCGTAATCGTGTGACAATGAAATTGCCACGTTTGTGTCCTTTGCCCCACCGGAAGAGACGAACTCTACGTGATTTCCACTGTTGAAAACCTCAGTAAAATGTCCTTCATCCCTGCATTTTTCCACGAAGGCTTTCATCTCCATTTTTGAGCGGATGATAAACGCATGGACGGTCAATAAATCTGATTTTTAACCGACACTAAAAACCGCGAAGATCCCTGAAACTGCCGCCATGTTGCCCAGAAAATTGCTTTGATATAAGCTGAGGTGTGATTGGTCAACGCTGCTTACTCGAGCCAATCAAATTAGCCGTAAGAAACACAGTTGACTCCTTAGTATTTGAAACCAGCAGTTACACCCAAAAGTACCATGACAACTAAACAGCGCGCGTAACAAAATCTCAGAGAAGAGCATACAAGCGAAGGTTGCTTTCTTGTTTAGCTGATTTTTCTCCAAAAACATGGACGCAGAAGGTCTTCATATGGCAGTTGACTACGTGGGAAGTAGTGGTGTTATTCTAAGTACAGAGCAGAAAGCAGCCTTACAGTCATCGCTGGTAATTTTGAAAAGCAACTACAAGTTTCGTGGAGTGAAATTTTGGGGCAAAATTCTTGGGGTAAAGAGCGATTACTTTATTGTGCAGGGAGTTGGTAAAGATGAACTGAAGGATAGGAAAACACTATACAGGTAAATTGTATTCGAAATCTAGCGAACAGTCCTTTGGAGACTGAATGACAGATATTGCAAAATTGTTCCTTAAAAGATAAACTTACAGATCGAAGTTAGTTGTAAGCTTATTTATTTATTTATTTATTTATATGTTATAATTCACAAAGGTCTCCATCACTGTGAATGTAAAGGTTTCTGATGGGAAATTTATAAAGATTCCTGTCTATTGAATATGATGGTACTATTTTACATCCCCCCGGGCTCTCATATGAATGAAGAATTACAAATGTACAGCAGGCAGATCTCAGAGAGTGTTATCTGCTGAGGCTGAAACCCCCTTTCCAGAGCTGCCTAATTCTCAATATCAAGCCAAATCCAAAGCTATTTCTTTTTTCGCTAAACTTGTGAAATTTTCTTCCATTTTCTCCATCTCTACCAAAACAGCCAAGCCGTCACAGGTAATCTTAGTCCCCAGAGGCTTCTTGGTTTTCCAACCCTATTTCTGTCATTATTCTGTACAATTAGCATCATTTGTACCAATATCGCAAGTCCCTTCCAAGTTTGCCCAATGCTACAACCAGTTGCAAAAGTACTTGAAACACTGTAAGTTGTATTTTGGTATAAATGGCCCGTCCATAATCTTGTGCTTTTGATCCCCCCTCCACCACTTATCAAAGTTGCTAGCAATACAAGACCATGGTCAAAACTTGGAGGAACAACTTTGAATGGGAGGGAGGAGGGAGGTCGGTATTATATATCACAGACCTGTGATTAGCAGCGTTTTGAAGCAAGAAAGGTCGTTTGTTCGTGGGATTGTCTCAACATTTTTGCCGCTGGTTGTGGCTTGTTTTGAAGAATGAACTTTGGTATTGAGCCAATCAGAAATAGAGAAATACTTTGAATGTTATTTTTTCTTGACAGTCAAGACTGTGTACACTGGGGTTTACTGCCAGTAGTTACGGAAAGCATGAGGCACAACAGTTCCTTTGTGAAGGGACGTTTCACTGGTGACCCCTCTTACGAATATGAACACACTGAGACAAAGAGAGTGGAAAACCAAGATGGAGATAGAGTTGAAGGAGCTGAAGAGGAGAATATTGTAAGTATTACTTTGGAGCCTTTCTATTAAATTGGGTGCATGCACAACTAATGTTTCTGTTTTTTTTTCCACATCAATTTTTTTTGGAATTCAAACTACTGAATGTACAAACTTTCTCTTGGATCTGGGAGGTGACAATATATGAGCTATTTAAAGTGGTTTGACTTAAGATCTGGTGGTTGTTGGTTCCTTTCCTTATCATTGCTGCTATCATGTTGATTCTCTTAGAATGGCAAGAACATTGCTCCAAATTCTCCCTATTTTGTTAGAAATGCCTGAGGCTTTCATAGCTATTATTTTTCACTCTATGAATCAATAACTTTAATGGTTTGACATCATTTTTATTAATGTAGTTCAGTCTGCCAAAACAGACACCAGTGCAGGTACAGTTCTTGTGATGAAATATGATATGAAGTAGTGTACCGGTCTTATATTACAGAAACATCAGCTGATAAGCCCCTGTAATATTCATGGTTTATGTGAGTTATGTTACCTTGGGATTTTACCCTTTTTTATTCATAGATAATGGTGAAAGAGGAGGACAGGCTTGCAACAACTATTGAAGCTATAGACTATGATGTCAGGATAGTACCCAGAGGTGCATACTTTAGAACAGCTCTTGGCACTGTGGAAGTGAACAGAAGTTTTGAAGGTGTGTATAAATGAGACTTGTCTACACTGCTGATTCCTCACTTGAGTGGTATATAAGCTCCCAACAGCTTACAGAACTGGGATTTTGTCTGTGTGGAGCTAAAGAGTGCGTGAAAATAAGGTACAAATAATATGCAAATACAAATTTCATTTTTGTCGTTTGTAATGTTTGATATATAAGTGCTTGGGAGACAAATATATTTGCTTAACAAGGAGCTGTGATTTTGTGTTTGACAAGCAATTTTTCGAGCTCCATAGCAAGTAAGGATGCACAATTGGCATTATCAACAACTAGATCTGACACAGCCCCTTTAATCATTAAATAATATTGTTATAAATTATCCCATATCCATCAGGTTTGTCAGTAGCTGATTCAGGCAAGCTTTCCAGTTATTTCCACTTCAGAGAACCATTTCTTCTAACCCAGAAGACTCTTCTTCAAAAGGTATGGTACTAAAATGTAAACATACAACTTTTGAGAGAATACTATTATTATACTATTATTTATACCAAACCCAAACAATGCTAACTGCAAAAAGCCCTTTTATAAATTCTATTAGTATCCATGACTTATAAAAGGGTGCTATAAGAACATGTTCATTACAAAAAATTAGTGCAAAATAAATGAAGAGATCAATGCAGTGTTGATTAGACCACAGCACAAAATAGATGTGCTTGATTAATCAATGCAATTACAGAAATTGACACCCACCGATGAACAAGAAACAAGGCCAGGTGGAAGAGCTGGGAAGTACCCAAAGTGGTGGCATCAGAAAGTGTTGGTCAGAGAACGTGATGGCCTTATGCACCTACTGACACAATGAAAACAGATAATAATGATGATGATGATGATGATATTACTTTTGTGTTAATTATAAATAAATGAAGTCAATGTGGATTTTTTATAAAATCACTTTGCAATGTTTTTGATTTGTCCTTTAACAGGCTGAGCTGGATAAAGCTGTTGATTTTCTTGATCCTATTGATACTGATGTACCGAAAGGAGGTGAAGGCTGCTTTACATTTTCAGTTTCGTTTTTTATAACTAACTTTTCGTCATCAGAGACTTTGTCACTTTGGTTAGAACTTAATCAAGTCAAAATTTAGACGGACCGTTTGCCCATTTCCCTAAATTATTAGTAGCCAGCAAGCAAGCTCTCCGGTGCGCTCTGGCGGCAGGGCGGGAACAGGAACAAGAACTTGCAACTACCTCTCTGGAAATTGAATATCTGCATCGAAAAAGTTTATGCGAAATGCTGATTGGTGGAGATGACATTAGTAATGACATCATTACCCTTGGCTCATGTTTTTCAATGTTTGTTTACATTCACGCTATTTTCCACTTCACGCTGATTGGTGGAAATCTGACAGCTCAGTCGACGGTGAGCCACAGGGGAATTGGAGGTGGAATTCAATTTCTAAAGATGTAGTTGTAAGCTCTCCTTTCTTTTCCCACCCCACCGCCAGGGCGGCCCAGAGAGCTTGCTCACAGGCTAGATTATTAGTTCCCCATTTGTTGTTTTTAAAAGTTTCAACTCTTCTGATTTCAATTTCCGGGCATCACATTTGCAACTTTTCACTCAAATCTTTTCTGTTTATTTGTTTGCTATGTATATTAGATGGTACTAGAATAATATGTTGTAACTGCAACCGTAATAATTAAATTTTGAGGTGGATTTAAACCATCGCTTTCTGTCCCTTCCTAAAGTTACAGGACAGAAGTCAGTGTAAACAAAATTTTGACTCTGTGAACTAAGTGATATCTAACCTGTCACAGTGGCTGGGGTTATTACATGTTTATTAATGAAAATAGCTGACAGACAAGCTGTATAAATGGCTTGTTTCGTGAAACATGAAATGCAATTTTTACGATTCTAAAACATGAAGAAATTTTTTGGGGTGCCTTCACTTGCACGATAGAGAACGCAAGAAAGTAAACTAGGTGTGAAAGCGAAGCGATTGGAAGGGACGTCAATACTTTTGCCTGATAATTTTTGGCATTTTACTAAGGAAAAAAATCAATATTTTTCTTGTATTCTATTTGTTGCACCTGACAAATAATGAACGAGAGAACTGCGAGTAAAAGCTACGAGATAACGCGCGGGCGAGTTACAAAGCCTCTTGCTTTTGCGTGTGCCTCGCGCTTGGCCCTCACTATATAGGCTAGATAATCATTTAGAAGATATTTAAAGGCTTTTTCTGTTTGTTGCAGGTTCCTGGAGTATTCAGTTTGAACGTGGTAGTGGCCTTGTCACCCTTCGTAGCCTTCACTGGCTTGGCTTCACTTTTTATCACGTGCCAAGCTCCAGAAAATATGGCTCAGTATACGTGGGTCTTGGAACCAAGAATCTGGACTTGCCTTTTATGCTGTGAAAGCACTCGTTATCAAACAAACATTTTGTGTAACATAGTGTATTTATAATATCCACTTGAGTAAGGTGTTCTTTGTAACAATTGTATTAATTTCCATTCTGATTTTTAACCAAAGAATGTTTAGTGAGCATCTTGAAGTGAAATTAAAACAGCGTGGAAAAGCAAGCAACCAATTTGCTGACTTAAATTACGCATAAGAAAATCCCTCAAAGTCAGACTCAAACTTACCTAGAACTTGGAAGAAAACTTTTAACGAAACATTTTATACGATATTCATAACATACCTTCGAAAAAAAATGATCAAAAAGCGCCTCTTGAATCCATGATCATTCTTGATGTAAGCTATATACAGAAAGACTAGATATGTTGTAAGAACGAGTTGAAAGATACGCCAGCTTAGACTGTTCACGGTCCTCTCTTTTTCCGTAAGATCGTCGAGATGATCATTCTTGATGTCAAACTACTATATACAGAAAAGACCAGATATAATCCCCGACACCCCCCCTCGGTACATTTGAAAATCAAGATGTAGCCGTGACGGTAAGACGCGGTATATCTAAACGATCTCACGAAAAAATAGGGGACTGTGAACAGTCTAACGCCAGCTTAACTAGCACAGTTTTCCGGTTAAACTCAACAGTATAGATCCCTTTTCACTAGGAGAACAAAACAGGGAATAACACGAACTAGTGCATGTGTAATTACTTACACTGTACTGTTAATATGTCCAAAGCGTAGCCGGTGAGTCGGAGGAAAAGTTAATTAGTTATTTCAGTGCATAACTGATCTTTTTTACTTGAACTGATATATAATAAGGATACCTGGTAGAAATAGCTACAATAGCCCGAATCAAAACATGCAACTAAACATAATACGGCTATAAAATACTTTCATACTCAGTTAATCCTTTGAAAAAGCTGTACCAGCCCACCAGCCCATGTGTAGCCGCAACCAACCCCCTCCCCCCTCCCCCCCTCCTCGAAAAAAAGAGAGGACGCCATGTTTCCTTCTTAGCGGGGATGTGCTAAGACAGAACTCTCATTCGAAAGGGACCGTTTACTATCTAGTGTTTTTTTGTGTGTGTATTTTCACAAGGTGGTAAACAATTTTTTCCTTCTTATACTGAATTGGTACGGGCCTCCCTTCCAACTGGCATAGCCTGTGTAGCAGGCGCAATAAACAAGAGACTCTCTTGCAATAAAGTAATATGGGCAAGAGAAAAAACGGGGCACACGCGAGTCTCCCTCCCGCGTCCTTTTTTTCTTGCGCCCGTTTTTTCTTTCTCTCTACGCTGCGTTCTTTCTAGCCTACGACCGCAGACCAGTGGCGGTCGCAGGACAGTTCTTTCTTGTGCCTGCTAATATAATGAGATGGGTTGGTCAAATTTGCATGGTTACTTTCCGGTCCCTCCTTTTCTTTTCACTACAGGAAATCCATGCTGGATACCTGTGGTTGATTGGCACAGTGCTATAAAACGTGTGACCTCTTTAAATTCCACGGAAATTAAGGGGATGAGTTTGGTGAGGTCGTCACATTAATACAGGAAGAGGCTTTTAGCATGATTACCATAAACCGCAATCAGAAAATATCGTATCCGATCAGATAAACATGTAAAAAGCGTTGAGGTCGAGAGCCTGGGGGCACATATGGCAATGCGCCCAGATTAAAAACAGACTGTTAAAGTCTGTAAAAAGAGACATCAAAAAGGCATTTTCTTGTTTGAAAATCATGAAAGAAGAGGAAGGGCAGTAGGGTCTAGACTGGGAGTCTAGAAGTGCTCCTTTTATATATATGCGTTTTTTTTTAAGTCCATGGAAAAGTTAGAAGTTTCTAATTAAGAGTCTTAATATTTTCAGGCAAATTTCAAACGTTTGGGGCTTGGCCAGCCCTCATCAGTGAAGCCTGAAGCAGTTCATTCATGCCCAGCAGGAGCGGAGTTCAGGTCAGCTATAAAGGCCTACGTACGGCTAGGCGGTGGTACTTCTGCTTAATTGATATCCCGGGGGGGGCACTTGGGTATTTTTTGGGTGGGTATGTCCGGCCCGGGACTCCAAATTGGCACCCCGTTCTAAAAACAATTTTCCCTAAAATTGATACCCCGTTCTAGAAATGGGCCGATTTTTTATACCCCGTTCTAGAATTTGCCCTAAAACTGATACCCCGTTCTAGAAATGGGCCAATTTTTTATACTCCGTCCTAGAAAGTTTGTAAATTGAAATAGCCCTGTTTTTTTAAAAAGATATTTCTTTATTTGTTCGACTTATACATCAAATAAATGCTTCTTCATAATCGGCAACAATTTTAAGCAGAAGATAAGGCCGTGATCCCACAATTTTTTATACCCCGTTCTAGAAAACGCCTCTGAAATGGATACCCCGTTCTAAATCAGGAGCTTCAAAATCACCACCCCGTTGGGCGGCACATCCCGCGCGGACGTTGATATGTACCGCGCGGACGTGGACTTTCGTGGCCTGTAACGTTCATTTAAAACCTTGTTTCCTCGCTTTGTATAACCTTTTCCAGGCTCCAATGCCGTAGTAGTGCATTTCACGTATTCCCGAATTGCGCGAGTCTTCATTTTCGCTTGCTTGGCTTCCAGTTGATTTACAGAATTAACTTGACCCCTTTAACTCGACTGGAGTCGGATGGCTCGAACTCCCCGCTGACTCTCGAACTAAGTCCAATTTCCCCTCCCACGTTTCATCATTTTTACTCGGTTAACTCGAACTTGGATAACTCGAAATCCCCGCTAACTTGAACTAAATTTCCTTTCCCTTGATCAAAATCAAGTTCACTGTGATCATGATTACCCCGAGAACTCGAATTGGATGCCATTTCGCATTAGCTCGTCTTGTTGTATAATCGGTAAATCCAGCAATTTGATTTTGATTGGTGCAACAAACATATCACCTTTTATCACAAACTAGGAGCATAATCATGTTACCGTTTCTGATGAAATTAGTTAAATTTGGATTGTACTATACACTAAATAAAAAATCAATAACTATTAATTATTAGGATGGAAAATTAGACATTCAATCGACCCCGATAACTCGGGCCCCCGCTAAAAATTAAAAAAACTCGAACTGTGTGGCACCCCTTGCCTTAATAACAGCGGTCCTTAATGGCACTTCGACTTGCTAAGGTGCCCTGTTGGACTACGAACGCTTTCTGGCCGGGCAGTAGACTTTTCCTTGCAGGCTATGGTCCACTCTCGGTTCAAAAAACGGGCGCTTTCATCTCTTACATATCTCAGTTATCAGTACAAGCGCGCGAAAGGGCGGAGCTGTATTGATCCACTCTATCAATTTGTGTGAATAACGGCTTGTTACTGCCCTGACGTCTCATCCCAGTTATTTCAGTGAATTCTCTTTTCCGGCAGGTTTATACGGGGTACTTCTTTCTTTAAGCCCCTGTGCAGCCGCCCCTCCTCTCAAACAAAATCTCCCCCGTTTTTTTTTAGGGGGGAGGGAGGGTCTCTACACAGGCTACCCTCTTTTCAGACATTTAAATTGTTCTAAAGTGGCTTTCTTAAAAGAGTGATTCCTAAGAAGAATCAGTTTTTTCATAGACCTTTCCCGGAACAAGCATTTTCAGCTCTTTTTCTCGTCCCGTGACATCGCGCATCCGCCTACATAGGCTTGGGATCAGAGAAAAAATAGTCGCAACACATCACAGTTCTGGCTCCCGGAGACGCCACAATTTTCACGTTCGACTAAACATCCTCAGATATATTGTTCGTCAAATTCATATTTTAATTGATAATCTATGTTGCTGAAAAATATATCGCTGATACTGGACTTTGATGAAGTAATCGACGCACTTAGGTTTTTAGTCTCCCTCTGCTTCCGGTTTGTTTTACTTAACGCGTTAAGTAAACAACGTGGAGAGATAAATAAGTAAAATGGGATGAAAGAATGATAATAAAAAGACTAAGGCGCTCATAAATCGGTGAAACAGTTATCAGCTAATTACAATAATTATAATAATGTTTTTACGGTTAAGATTAACATTATAATTATGTATAGTATAATTAATAGAGTGGAATATAGAGCGACATGATCAAAACGTTTTTCAAGGCCAATATTGTTTGACTATAAAAGGCCGTTTTCACGTACAATACATGAAAGATGAAATAGAACGTATATTAACACAACGTTTTTTTTAATAAAGTAAAAAATAGTTTATACTGAAATTCGAACACAGCGTTTACTTTACAGAAATACATGAATGTTGTGAGAAAATCGAGAAAAACAGCCCTATTGCCTGGAAAAAGTATCAATTAGCACTAACTTCTGTCCTCGTGGTATAAATTTGCTCGTCTCTCGAAAAGGTGCTAGAAAATAAAATTAGGGTAAATGTTGGCAGAAAGGTTACCATTAGTACAAAAAGAATTATTTTCGCAGAAGTTGTTGGTGGATTTTTCAGTGGATAGCAACTCAAACAGCGTCCATGTTAACAAGTTTTTCGAACCAAGCCTTCTCTCATTGATATGCAAGTCCCATCTAAACAGTTTACTTTGCTCTATTGTCTTTCCACCAATAGCAATGCGTCTTGTAAATTCCTCAATGGCTGCCATAGTGGGTTAGTGATGCGAAGTGAATGCCAACTATTTGATCTATGTCACAGGTTTATCTGCAACAGGACAGATTATAAATGCCTCCAGGAAATGTCGAACGTTTGCCGTTGTTTTGAACTGTCTTAGGACTCGACGCTCAAGCTTCGTATCCGGTGAAAACGAGCTATTCTTTCGAGAATAATGTGACCTGTCGCTGTGCATCGACATGGTTCACAAAAATGCTTATGGAACGACTAATCCGGACGATTCCGTCGTCCCTGAACTAGACTCTTTTGACACTTCGCTGAAATCGGATACGGCTCAACAGATCATTCAACAATGGATTGAGGTAGGGTGAAGAGACAGTTGGTGTCAGCTTACGTAGTCTTTTGGAGTGTGTGTGCGTTTCGGCATAGAAGTGGGTGTCGCTTGAAATTTGCCGCTTAAAATCGACTAATAACGTGTTTATTTTTGTCCAGGAGGCTACTGGAAGAGTTTTTAACTCGTCCCGATTTATAGAATCCTTGCAAGACGGCGTTCTTTTATGCTAGTAAGTTATTAACGATCGTTTTCGATAGCTTTGCTTTGTTGGAAGGATTAGAACTCGGTTGCACATACCATACTCATCGATTCTCTGTATTTGCAGCCTTGTAAAGCGAATACAGCCAGATTCGGAGATTATTCAGGATGTTATCGAAGCTCCAAATCCTCAGGAATCTCAGGTATTGAAAAGCACTGTAATGTCTCCCTAGAAATAATCTTTATTTCCTCAAACACGAATAAGTCCACTTCGATTGCACGTTCCATATTCTTCGTATTTGGTATTTGTTATTTAAGCTTGCATGCGTCTAGTGAAAGAGTTTTGCGGTTTCTTGTTGCTTTGGCACACAATGTGTAAGTTCTAATGAAATGTTTAGTAAAGTAAGAGATAACGATGGAATTGTTGATAGCCCAGGGTGCTGCACCATGCAGTATTCTTGTTTTTTCGAGTTGTCGCGTATATCGTGTGGCAAGTTGCTTGTCACGTTCAATCTACGAACTTCGCCTTTACAATTTAATAGAGATTTCTACGCTAGAAATTTTACCCCATCTAGATCAGAGCAAATGTCACAGTGATCGTGGCTTTATCAGCAACGATGTTTAATTCTAAATTATGAAATGGTTTTGTCCCCCTAGCTAATAATGTGTGATTTTAGTCGATGTGACCGGAAACCAGTTTACATCTCACGGGAAGCGCCATTATGATGAGCGTTCAGTCATCATGCAAAAAAAGAATGGCCAGTCGCTATTTGTTTCAAAACACAACATTTCCTTTGTCGCTTTCTTTAAGACGAGTGCTACAAAGAACGTTCGATCGCACGTTTATTGAACATTTTACTGGCTTCAAAGGTACAACGTACATTGACGTGAATAATCTCGGGCGTTTTGATTTGATTTCGTTGACAGAAAACCCGATGTCCCAAAACCATGATTTTATTAAATTAACCCGTGTTATAGTTAACTTAGCAGTTGTTGAATAGGGTCGTGTTTGTCAAACTGGAGCTTTTGTATCCCCACAATCGCTCCTTTTTATTAAAGCTTTGTTGTGGCAGTCTGCTTGTTTTCTGTTGAACTTTTCCCTCATAGATCACCCAGACTAAACTGCATGATATTGATATCACTTCATGGTCCAAATTACTGAATTTCGTGACTGGCCGCTACATAATCGGCCTAATCCTTAATATGTTTTTGTCTCCTAGTAAAGATATGCTTAACGGCATATTTCAGCACGAAATGTTCCGAGGTTCCATTTTGGCTTAAATAGTTCATCAATTTTTCGAACATTGGTCATTGATTTCAATTGTCGTTCGCAAGTAGCAATCTTTACATTTGATAATCTGCTGAACTGTTGAAGTGTTGTTATTATTAAAGCCTAAGTTAATTTGCTAATTTTATTATAAAATTATGTTATTAACTGAGTAGTAAATTTCAATCACATAGCATGTTTTGAAAACCTAATTCATCCCTTGAACACAATGAAGTTGTTTAAATTAATGTGTTATTACACTTTGTAATCTGGCAAAAATATATCCTTTAATTTCTCTCGAACTTTGTGAACAAGAATAATTTTGAACACTTTTCTTTATAATTTATAGAGGATAGGTATATATATTATCATACTGCATTCTCAATAGATTTCCATTTAATCGCTGTAGAATTAAAAGAGGTGAAAATACTGTTTGGTTCTATAATTGGTGGTTGTAAATTTCAATCATTCACCTTACAAAGGCCGTTATCGTGTTTTTAATCACACGTTTTCTTTAATCCTTTTTACCAGCACCCAATAGACCACTTAACGATAATTTTTTTTTTTATGTTATTAACTATCACTTTTTGAGCTAAACCTTTTTATTTGAGATGCATCATTGCAAAGTGAACTTTGTTATTTTTATATTGCAAGTGCATGGTGATCCATATATTTTTATTCATTTTTGTTGACACCATTTCTTAAGTTTTCACTTTTTTTATACACCCCTGTTACTTTTCAAATTTCAAGATGTGCTTAATGAGCAAAAAAAAAGTGAGTGTGGTATATCTAATAAAATAATCATTGCCTCTGATCCTAATCTTTTTCACAATTCCATTAATTGTATATAATGAATTGAGAAATAAAATCTCAATGGCCTAAGTGGTACTGTTAAATTTTCACCCTCACATGCTGCTTAAGGGATCTTTTGCTAGGATTACACTGATAAATAAACTTTCAAGAATTCATCTAGGCATTGTTACATATGATATCCTAACTCTGTGTAGCCCTAGCTAGTTCCTGTTTCAGCTACCCAGGAATACAGCAAACCTTTGTTTAACTAAGCTGTGTATCAAACTGTGGCCATTCTTGGTGGCTCACTTCCTGAAAGACACTAAATTAGATCTATAAACTTTAAAGAGGATGTTTATTTTCCTGTATATAGATGCACCTTTGACATGTCTGTCTGTAAAGTTATTAACAGTTTATGTCAATTTTCAATTTGATTTACATAGAAGATTCCCTCTGTGCTCTGAATTGACTTAATCTCAAATGAGCTAATTTGTTAATTCAGGCAATACAATTCAGTAATAATTTGTAGTAAAATAGAAAAAAGCAACAAGGATGTTACTTACAGGTTTCAACCTCCTGTTCTTAGCAGCCACCCAAAATGCGAATTGATTAAATGTGGACTCTTATGAGAGGTGGCTACTTATCGCTTGACCTATAAGCTACTTTTTGGAAGAAAATTTGTTTAATGCATGTAATTTCCAATGTAGTTTCAATGTAGGATACTCTAAGTAGTGTAGTCAGGGCTCAAAATTAAAAAAATCCTCAGGTTACCCTTTGATGACCAACTGGAGAAATATGGTTGCCAGTTTGTATAATGTAAATGACGCAGCTCATAGTATCAGGGCTTCTGATATTCAGCGTGGTCATGGGGCTGCGAAATTCAGGTAAACCCGCAAAATTCACAAAAACATGCGAAACACTGCAAAATTTGCTAGAAATCACATCGAATACATGTTGATACATCATTATTTGAAACTTATCTTGGCCATTGGGGCTGTTTAATAATTGCTGTAAACGTGCAAATTTATCTTGAAACTTCATCACCACAATGAGCAAACACTTTCCCAAAACTACCAGGCGTAAATTATGTTGCAAAAACCTGGACACTAGTCATGATGTTAAAAGCTTTGCCATAGGCTCATTTCTCGAGCGCTTTGTTGTTATAATAGCAAATGATTATCTCTGTTAAAAAGTTTAAACACTCCTGTCAAATCATCGCAAAATCAATGGATTTGTAGCGAAATTTGCCCAGAAAATTCCCATGAAATCGGCCATTTTTTTCTGATTGTTTTTCAGCTAAGTTAGCCCCGAAAATTTCCGCAAATCTGTCTCTGAAAATCCCGCGAAAGAAGTAGGTATAAATTTGGAGGTAAACTGGCTTTGTTTATGTGATTTGGCACATTTTTTATGACGAAAACAAAGCAAGATAAGATGAACTGTTTGTTTTCTGGTCCGCAAAGTGGCGACTAAACCAGAATTTTTAGTCGCTCAGGAGAAAATGTTAGTCGCATTGGCGATGGTATCAGTCGCAATTTTGAGCCCTGGTAGTGTATAGTGCAACATGGACATAAGAGCTGTCTTTTGCGCGAATGTTGTTGGTTTTTGTTTCAGAATAAAGTGATGTTTCTGCTGAAGATCAGTATGCTCAATTACTGACAATCCTTCATTCAGAGGTCACTTGCCATTACCTATGAAGGTTCAACGGTAGATTTACTTAAGTCTAGTGGTCATGAAGTCCGTCAAACTTTGCTTGTCATGTTGCATCAAGCAGTTGCATACAAATTATTAAACTGTCAGTGTATAAAGCGATTACGGTAACTTATAAGATGTTCCAAGGTGTGATGTACCACTATGATCGCCATGGCAAGTAGAGTAACATTTTGGTAGCTAAAACTGCACTGAAAGTTGCCAATTGGGTCACAACTAGTGTTTGATCATAATGTGGTGTTTTTTCCTGGGTGTTTATGGTCTTCCTAAAGTTAAAGTGAGATAAACATTTGCATGAAATGTTGTACTCTTTTTCTTTTTTAATTCACCTTTTTACCCATGCTGGCTGGTTATTAAGCCTCATGTGGCATGTGCCTCCAAATTTGATGTTTGGTAGTCATTTTGATCATCTCCTCACATCCTCATGTGTTTTTTTTCTGGTGACCTTGATATATTATCTTAGATCACTAAAAGGCCACTTTGAAAAAATTTCAACTTGGAGCACTGAATGAGGAATTTGACTGGGAAAACTTTGGTGTTTAGTAAGGAATGGTTCCACTTGAAGGTTAGACGGTAACCGTGATTTTGGAGTATCAAGATTTTTGTTTCTTAAGATTATTTACACCAGTCCAGCCACATAAGTTTGGTTCCCTTGTAAATGAGTGAACTTATTGGACATGCTCATTTAATGTGCCTCATTTCTGCATGCTATATTAGTAACAGTATTTTATATACTTATCATGTGTTTATTTTTTCTTTCTCTTTTGTTTTTCTTTCAGATTAATTTGAAGAAGTTCTTAGCTGTTTGTAGTGAACTTGGTCTTAGTGGGTGGCAGCTTTTTGATCCAAACGATTTAGAAGTTGGAGGTGATGTTATGTGAGTATTCACAGTATTAAATAGGATTCTCAGTTTTCTCATGACATCACCAAAATGCAAACTAAGAAACTATTGATTCTTCTGAGTTTCTACTTTCATGAAGTATATATACAGCACCTAAAAACCTTTATTTACACGAATTCTCGGTTCCGAAGGGTTCTTTGTTTTGCGATAGAGGATGCTTGAATCTCCGGGCTTTTTCATGATGCGGCATTCAGCTGGCGGCTGGGAAAGCTCTTATGTGGGTTCAAAATGTCACGGATTTTTTGAGATTTTGCTATCTAAACAGTCCTTGTCTTAGAATAAATATTACTTTAATCTTTATGAGTTCCTCAAGCAATGAATTCACGGATATAAGTAGGAAACCTCAAAAACAGATGTTTCTGTTGGTTTCCGGCCGTGATATTTGTGCCCCTCAAAGGGACACCAACATGGCGTCTCATACAAAGTCTTATAAATTTGGGTAAACCATTTTTCCGAATATCTCACATATGCAATATTGCACAGACCTGATTCTTGGCGAGGCTTTTTGTATATTTATCTTCCTTCATTTCCCAGATTCTGGACTTTCTTTATTGACTGGTTTGCATTTTTATTTTTGATGGCATGACAGTGAAAACAGAGAATAGCATAACAAATCAATATATGTTATGATGTTGACAAAACCTGGATCAGACCAACCCCTGTTACCCTAAACCCATCTTTTTGTCATTTAGGGAATTACGTACAGGGCTAGATCGGATCAAGGTATTATTGATGCCTTAATCATTACTCACACAGGGCTGTCATTGCCACAGTCACCTTCCCAGCTGTTTACTAATTTTAATTTAATGTTATTTATCTATTTATTATGCTTTTACTTCTACTTACTGTAATTTATTTTGTGTGGCAAAACAATTAAGAAGTAAATAAAAATTTAAAAAAACGCTGGCAAGGACTTGGGGGTTTTCCCTTTTACTAAGATTTCGCGTTGCTGGATGTATGTGTTACAGGTCAAAATAATACGCAGGTTGAAATTTTCCAACCTAGGTTGATTCTCAGTTTCCTTTGTCTCCTAGCCCTAATTCACAAATAATTAGGGCTAGGATACAAAGGAACTAGAAAATCAACCTAGGTTGGAAAATTTGAACAGGTCAGAATTTAATTTTGACCTGTGACCTGGAAATTGAACAACCAGGAAGTTCTTTCGGTTTTATTTTACTTAAATAGTTTTCCTGTGAAAGTTGCAAGGGATCAGGCTAATATTAGCCAGGGGAATTCCCATGCCCACAGCACTTGGTGACAGCCCTGCAGTTATTAATAATTTTTAGCCTTGATCCTTTTTTGTGTTAACCATTTAACATGAGTGACCAGCATCATACTTAACATCAAAACTGCTTTATCAGACATAAAAAAAGAGTCACTAAGTTGGATTTGTTTTGATACAGTGTGTTTTAGTAAAGCAAATTATTGTTGTTAGTACCGTCTAACCTTGATTATCCGGTCCTCGATTATCCGGACTATTTCGTCTGGTCCCAACAAGTGCGGGTTCAACTGTGCCATTGAAAAAGTATGGAAAACAGATTTTAGAAACTTTGCAGGGTTTTAAGCCATTTTAAGTAAATAACTCAGTCAGTGTGTGGAAGTTAGTAATCCCCAAAAGTCTACTAATACATGTAGTCCCACTCAGTAAAAAGTAATAATAAATTTTTAATATTTGACACCATTACCAAATGAAGATCAGCCGTACACGGCCAAGAAGTCAAAGTGTCCACAATGAGGCATAAACAAACAGGCTTAGCAAACCACAAATAATAATTTTTGTTCATTACAAGAAATCCACAGTTGTCTTACTAACAGTCAGTTCCTGCAAACTACAGTTAAGCTATATTTATGATTTGAAATGTTCATTAATACCCTGTTCCAAGGATATGCTTACAAGTAAAGGCAAAAAATGTCTTTAAAATAACTGTATCTGGACTCTTATGCAGTCGTTGGCTTGTTTGAAGACGTTTACACTTTTATTTTTTGTGTTTAGCAACTATAAATCAGAAGATGAAGTAATCCAAAAGGTAAGACCTGAAATTTATATTTTAGATAGAATTTTACAAACAATTTTAGGGGAAATTTAGGGGAGCCTTACGAACAGAATTGATAGTAAGAGTAGTTTTGAGTGAAGCTTGCAAAATCTGGTAATATTTGGGGCTGTTGGTGAGAGAAACAGCCTATTTATGTACTTTATTTGTTAAACAGGTTGTGAGCACATTGTACTGGCTTGGTTGTACTGTGCAAGGAATGTCTTACTACAGGGGACCCAGGCTGAATCTCAGTAACTTTCAAAGAGAAAGTGATGGCACAATTACTGTTAAGGTATGTACTAATATGCACAGGAGATAATTTTAGAACCTCTTTGCAGGTGACAAGGGGATCCCGCAAGTATTCTAATCTCCAGGTTGTTATTATGCATGCATCACGTGTATGTAGCCAGCATTCGTTTGGACTTCCACTAAGAATCATGAATGGAATGCACAGTACGTGATTTGGTCACTCGCATTTGGACCTTCTATCACTCGTAATCTGATCGCACGTGTTTTGACCATCTATCACTTGATACTTGTGCAAAGCACAGTGTTGGAGCAAAAGCGTTTTTACCTTTAACTGTTGTCGCCTGCACTCCATAACCTTTGGTTATTACTAGTAAGTATCAATTTAGAGTAATTCTGACAAGATAATGAGACCAGCAGCAGCTACATTAACTCGTATAAATATAAACAACATACAGGAAATAACTCACTTCTTTACACTTCATGATTCCATCCAGTTTACCAGCCAGCAGTCAGGGTGGGATTTGAACTCATTCCTCCAGATTGCATGTCTGAGCCAATGGTCAAGGAAGAGGGTGAATAGGGGTATGCAAATCCACCGATCAATTATGATTTGTTAACCAAATCTGCCCTTCCATTTTTGCCCTGAATACACAATCCAGTCAAAAATATTTGAATTAGATGCAAAGTCTGAAATCTGGGCCCAAAAAATCGATGAATCCGCAAACTGCTGCAATTGCAGGATCCGGAAATCCGTTAAAATCTCGCTTTGAATCCGAAATCCGGGCAAAAATATTTTCAAAATCCGCAGATCCGTTTGCCTATTCACCCCCCTTGTCAATGCCCTAGCAGCTCAGTCTTATCTGCTTCAGACACTGGTTTACATAGAAGCAGGAATTAAAATACATTATATTAGGTATTTATCCATCTGGCTCTGGTTGTTCAAAAGTTGGATAGAGCAATCCACCAGATAAATTGCTATCCAATGGATAGGTATTACGAAAACTAATAATATATAGAGGATATTACACAGTGGCGCGAAGATATGAATTTTATTTTTGAGTGGCAAAACAATATTTTACGAACGAGCACAGCGAGTGAGTAAAATATTGTTTTTGCCATGAGAAAATAAAATTCATATCTTCAAGCCGCTGTGTAATGTTCTTTTTATTATATAGACAAAAAGACATCGACAAAATAATGGAGGGAAATGACCGAAATTACGTCATCGATAAACTCACGTGTGAGATTATGGAAAATAAACCACTCGAGTCCCGGATGTAGTTTTTATGAATTTTACGAGTGGTATATTTTCCAGTAAAACACTCGTGTCTTTATAATAAATTGTGTTATCCACTGGATGGTGATTTATCTGGTGGATAGCGCTATCCAACTTTCAGAGGAACTTTCCAAGGCCAGATTTCCCAGGTTATAAATGTGAAAAAAATATAGTAAAACAGATACAAATGTGTGTAAATCTGCGATGAAAGAATCACATTTAGTACATGTACACTTGTAAGAATCAAAGAAGCTAGGAAGCAGGTTTTTCAATTATTTTTTTAAAGCGTTTATGAACTTTCATGTACATGTAGAAAAGGAACGCATGATATGGCAGGTAGTCCTCATTTTCAAAAAGTTTGGTATTTAAGTGCCATGTCCCAGACCTTTGGTTTGAAACTACAGATTTTAAAAACAGGGCAGAACTCTAAAAAACTTTTAACAACAGCATATTATCCAAAAATCTGTCAATTAAATTGGATAAAGATGAAAGAATAACTGAAAGATGCCATATACAGCAGCTGTGGTTGATAATCTTTCCTAAGTAATTCATTTGGTCTCAGCTTAAAACTTCAACAATACAGATGAAAAGGCACTCTTGAAAACTGCTATTAAGGGCTAATCATTTCATTATGAGATTAATATTAATAAAGTTAGATTTGAGATCTACTTTTGGCAATACTTATGGAGGAGCATAAAGCTTAATTGCCCACTTCTTTAAATGTCACATTTTGAGATGTTCGGTCTAATATGCTTCTATTTATTGCCAAGAAAACTTTTTAAGAGAAATTTTAAGTTAGACAGGATCCAATCAGATCAAATGAACCAGTCATCCTGGTGCTAGGGTGAAAAGAAAAACATCAATTACTGTGCCTTAGTACTGGTGGATAAAACAGTCATTTGCAAATGCTACGTACATGTACTGAAGTAATTTTTTGCCATATTGGTACTAAAATTTTTGGCGGTGTTAAATTTCTTGGATAGCCACATTCAATATTAGCAAAGGGCCTTTCATTATTTCAGTATCTTCTTTGTTATTTTGTTAAATTTTTTTTCATGAGTTGAATTGTGTGATGTATTTTTTTAAATTCTTTGGAATGTTTGATCAATATTTACTCTTGTCATTCATTTTAGAGGTCACAGAAGTTAAAATAACATTTGTTGCTCTCTTGATCTTGTTATACAATATGCAAATTACAAAATGCCATGGCTGTCTGCTACAAGTGCTTGTGATGTTGGATGCAGTGATTTTTTTGCTTTATGCATTCCTTGCTGTATAAAGTCGATTTACTATGGGAAAGCTTGAAACATCAATTCTGATTTATCCTACAACTGATTACAGCACTTAAGTCTCTTGATTGAATTCAGACCCATTGTGGCAATGATTTCAGTGATGCGGAAAGTAGGAAGACACACAAATTAACCTTTATTCTACAAAATACCGCACCAGATGGAAAAGATATCCAGTGTATCAGTGTGAATTCTACACTAATAGCTCCTTGTGAACTCCAAAGCATGGTAATGAAATGTGTGTGTTCTTGTTGAGATAATGACTCTCACCTTGTTGTTAATCAGTTGCTAAGTATGCTATACTTATTCAATTGAGTCAAGTCCAAAATAGCAGTTTTCTTTATAAATTATTCCCTATTTTGAATTGGTAAATTGACGTAAATTTGATGTTTGAGCATTCTTAGTAATATTGGTTCTTCGTAGTAATGTTTTAATTTAGTTCCATGTAATTTTTGTGCATTTTAGGTGACACTGTTATTATTCATGAGGAACTCATGTGAATAATAATCCAAACATGGTCTTCATGCATGTACTAATTATGTAAACTAAAGGGCTATTTCTCACTATAAGTCTAACTTGAGATTTTGGGGCTTTTGTGTTCTGTTGTGTTTGTAATGGGTCATATATCCAGCAACAAAACTTTGATCTTTTAGTTATCTGCAAGTTATACCATTACTAATTTGATGCACACACTACTAGTGATCATTCAACTCTGAAATCAATTTAGTTATGATGAAATACCATTACTGGCTCTTTGCCATTTTTGTAAAATATGCTGTATTGATCTTAAAAATACCGATCCATGTTAGTGTAATTTGTAATTTTCCCTTAGAGTGTCACATTTGAAGCCTTCATTTGTGAATTTCCTGCTTATTAGATTAATAATGCAATTAGTGAAGTCTATGGAGCACAGCGTCTTCATGCACTGCCTTCAGGAATTAACATTGATTGAATTATGAAGTTCAGTTTATGTAGATCATTTGTAAATGTTCTTGATTTTTTTCCCAAAATGGGACGTGAAATTCAGTTAGGTTTTTATCAGAATGTGAGTCATTTTATTTTTAGATGCCAAACTGAAGCAGACTATAAAAATTAATAAGTTCATGGTATTAAGGTTGAAAGCATCCATGTTATTGCTAGAAGATTTAGTCACGACAGATTTGTATTTAGTCTAACCTGTTCCTACAGACTCCTGTATGTTATGGGTAGTTTTGTTGGTCCCAGATATTCTTACAGTTCCTTATTTCATACCTTGATAATTTGGACACCTCTGTAGTGTGGACACTTGGCTCTGTGCCTTTGGTGTCCTTATTGAAGAGGTTTGACTGTAATACAGACACCTGTAATGTGGACCATTGGCTATATCGCTTTGGTGTCCTTATTCAGGACCATATAAGCTGTAATTCACACACCTCTGTAGTGTGGACACTTTGCTCTGTGCCTTTGTTGTCAATATTAAGGAGGTCTGGCTGTGATACAGACACCATCATAATGTGGACATTTGGCTCTGTCCCTTTGTTGTCATTTTTAAGGAAGATTGACTGTATTCTGTCCTTTCTCAATTGACAGCCAAATGCTAGGCGTGGCAATGATTACTCCTATGCCAGAATGGATGGACCACACATTAATGGAGGCATTCCACATGGTGACACTGTGCCAACGCACCTAACAAATGGCTATGCCGAGAACATGATGACCAATGTAAGTGTGTTCTACACTTGATATTCACTTTTTCTTTTTTGTGCGTGTACCGTATGTACTTGAAAGAGTGCCAATAATCGGTGCAATACTTATAAACCCTGGATTACTATCTGGCTTAAAGAAATCCATGAAAGTAAGAGAGACATGTAAATTTTACAAGAAATGGCTCATTACACATTTGCAATCAACAATGACAGGATGCACACTTATTCAGTTGGAGGGGGGGTAGGCTGGCTTAGAGGAGGGGGGCTGGTCTATTTTACTTTCAAGCACAGTGCTTATTCAGGTTTGGCTCTTGTTTGAAGGTGGTGCTCATCTTATATTTGCAACGTAGTAGAATGAGTCATAGGCAGGAGGGATAATTTTATTATTGTTACCCATGAGAGTGAAGTGCTGAAAAGGATTGACAGTGATGGTAACTGATGGTTTTACAACTTTCGCAGAATTAATGATCAGAAACAATTTGATCCGAAACAAACAATGAAATTGACTGTTCTTGAAATTTCATATTTGTTTTTGTTTGACAGCTGGTTGCATTAATTTTGTATGTTTAATGCTTTAGGGGGATGAGGCTGTGGAATTTTCTGTCAATGTGCGGATACTTGGAGATGAGAAGCGGTTTGGTTTTTCTGTTATGGGTGGAACAGATGAAGGATTCCCCCCAAGAATTGATGAAATTTCCCCAGGTATAGCGTTGCAACGTCTCTTTCCAAAAGTTTTAAGGTGGCCGAGGGTCATCTTGTCAGACTGAGAATCTGACAGTCTCGGGTTCAAACATCACTCTGACCACTAGCTCGAAGCTTGATTTGTTTCTTGGTCTTCATGATGACAAATTCACGGTCATGCTTGTAATTAGCAACTAGTTGGGGTTTTTAATCATGTTGTGTTCTATTATTTGTTTAATTAGAGACCTTTAGGACCAGTTATTTAAATGGAGTTGAGTCGATGTTTAACAAAACCACATTCTAAGCCATTTTCACCTTACCCAGTGCTTTTATCGTAACACCATTTGTTGTGAACAGTTTCGTGATAGCACATTGCGTAGACTGTAAAAGCATTTATCATCGTGAAATAACCCATTAAGGAAGATATTTGGAGGTCCAAAGATGTGCTAAACTGCGGCCCAACTTAGATGTTGTTCAAATAACCGGCCCGTAGATTCTAAGCTGTCGTCATTCAACCTGCAGCTAAAGAAACTGCTGCCCTCCTCTTTTTTTAGAGTTCCTACATCCTAACTTGTCTATGGGTGAAAATTGAACTGATTATCAAAATCCACTTGGCAGCATCAAGGCTTGTATAATCAGAGTGGCCATGAAAATAAAGAACATGGTCACACAAGATTAGTGTTAGTTAAGTGACTTCTTTTTATTAATAACATCTTTTTTTGTGGTGTAGAATCTCCTGCTGCCAAGACTGGCCTTCTAGTTGATGATGAGATTCTAGAAGTGAATGGAGAATCAGTAGCTAATTTGTCTCACACTGAAGTTATTTTAAGTATTCACAAGGTAGGTTATAATAGATGTAGGACTTCATTTTGTTAGGGTGCGTATTCTTCAAAGATCACATCTCCATGCACAAATCGCATGGTAAATCAGGGCTCGAAAAAAACCAAGTCCGGTAGTCCAAGACAAGCCGATTTTCTTGCTAGGCTAGTGACTTTTAAAGTTCACTCGCCTAATGTTTAAGGGTCCAGGAAAGTCATTCTCTAACAAAATCATTAACTAAGACGAATAAGAAGTGGCCCTGGGCATTCCAAGATAGTGTTTTATTTTCACAATGTCTTCATTATCTGAGAGCCTGGCACATGCTACGGGCAAGCAAAATGTCAGAGCTACTTGCCAAAGGATAAGGTGGAGTGCAAGTATTTTTTCAAGCCTTAAAATACGTGGGATGGGAGAGTTAGTAACTGCCACCTTTGTTTTTATGTGGTTGCATTGTTCAGCCAGCAGATCTTAAGGTTGTGGGTCAGTTATATCATGTTGGTTGTGATGACGACGTTTTCTTGGTTCAGATAATCTTTTCTTTGGCTGGTGCTGTAAAGCTGATCAATTTAGGTTTTTAGGAAACTGCCCACCTACCCCTCCCCTAAGAAAAGCCAACAGTTTGCCCTGAATTAAGTGTCAATGTTTGCTTAGGGGAGGGGTGTGAGGGCAGTTTCCCTAGAAACATAAATTGATCCCTATTACACCTGTTTGGTCGGTCTACTTGTATGATTCTTCTCAAAGAGCATGGGACATATTGATCTTGGAATCTGTGGTTTGGCGTTATTCATTTCTACCACTATACCTCGAATTTAAAAAAAGTATGTGTCTGCCTTTGGCTTTTGATGGCTAGGATGGAAGTGGTTTTAATTTCAACTGGAAATAACTGGGCTAACGTTTTCAAGTTTAAATCCCATGTTGTCGAAGATGTGCAAAAAACCGATCAGGCTTAAACTTTGTTTTCCCTTTGATAGAATGATTTGATACCTTTATTTTAGACTGAGAATACCTAGTTCTAATTTCAACTCAACTTTGACCAAAAAATACTCAACTTTCCATGACATCGCCCTTGTAAAGAGCAAGGGAAAGGAGCAATAATTATTGACCCTTTAAGCCCCAATATCCACATTCAAATTCTGCAAACTGATCTCCATACATTTCTTTTAAGAATAAGTTGAGAGAATTTGTTAAAAGATCAATGTATTTTCACCTTGGTGATCATTTTAATGATAGGCCTTATCCACGATACCAGCCATCTTTGCACGCGTATAAGGACTGATGGGTTAAAAGCGGGTGGGGGGAACCAGTGATAAAATCTGCCAATACAAGAAATTGCGGTGGTGTTTGTTTATTTTAGACAACAGAATATGAAGAACTTATTATCTTTAAGACAATAACAGTGGAAAAGTATAGGTGGAAGTGATTGTTGTTATTTTTTTAATGCAGTACCGACTGTAGATGTCCCAACAGCAAGCAATAATGACGTGGAACTTGTCGAAACTTGAACTGTACATTTTGCAAATTTAAAATTGCCTTATCGTTTTGAAAGGATAAACAAACTCGACCGCGGTTACTCGTAGTAGCAAATTTTATCACTTGTTTACCCACTGAAATACCACGACGTGGCATTGCTTTTATCCAATCAAGCGATGCTTGTGCAAAAGATGGCGGGTATCGTGAACAAGGTCTATTCTCATGACCTTTTCTGTTGGTTATGTATTGGTATTGTTGTGAGGAAAATCGATGTTGGCCACTCTTGCGACCAATAGGGTTAAGGTTTGCGTGTGCATGATGGACACGCGGCCTTATTCCTCCTTTTCCTTCCTGTTCGAACTGCTGGGTAGTAGTGCCACGCTTTAACACATATCTCATGAAAAACTCAGTAGCACATAGAGCAGCCTCTGTTGTGAGGAACTTTCTTACTCCTGAGCTTGCAAAGACATCCAACGTTGAAAATTACACTAGAATGGCCTCTGAATATGACAACCTACGTAATTTAGATTTTCGGGCTGAATCTCCACAAACAATGCCTCACAATGACAACCATATTTTTTTATATTATTAAGACGATTTTAAAATACTTTTATTGCTCAAGTTTTAGTTAGCTTAAATGCACGACCATAAAAGCGGCAACGCTTTAATCACCATCGTTTTGAAATAAAAGTTATTGTATTACTTAAAGTATTGTATCGTACTCCTGCCACGCAGCCCGGGGAGGGGGGGAACTCCGCATATGAAAGGGGTGGGGATGCTCGTCGAAAATTTTGAATTAAACCCCTAAAGGACACCGATCTGGGCGTGGCCCAAGCCTTTTTTGACCCCTAAAAGAGACCATGTTAAAACACAGACAATATATGTATTTTTATATTTTTTCGCGTGCAACCCTAAACGAGACCTTCACGGCTAAATTTGATGGCGTTTTGCCCAGAACACCCTAAGTGAGACCAAAATCCGAAATTTACACCCCTAAGCGAGATAACGAGCATCCCCACCCCTTTCACATGCGGAGTCCCCCACCCGGGCCACGCAAGTTACTGTGCTGCACGTTTTAATACCTTCCATGCTTTCCATGTATACAATATGTTATTTGTTTTATCTTGCAGTGTCTTAGAAATAGAGTTATTGCTCTGAAAGTTCGAAGAGGAAGACGATATTTCCAAGGTCAGTGCGCATTCATTTTGTAGCTATTCTTGTTACATTGTTATCGTTTTTTATACTGGTTTAACAAGTTCAGATTGGTTTCTTAGTGATTTGTCACTTAGAGAATTGACAGTAACTGACCAAAGCCATTAATGGTGGCACCACACAAGGGCCATCAAAACGTGATCAGGCGAGCGTACGTTTTTACATAAGAAACTGAGCGTTTCTTGTTTTTGTTTTTTGTTTTTTGTTTTTTTCCCGTTTGGTCCGAAAGAATAGGATTGTAATGGCAAAGTGGTTGCATAAACGGGTTGGTCTAAGGACGGGTTTCCACTGTCTTTTTATTCAATGCAACCTACGGCCTTGGAAATTTCAACCATCATTTGATTTGAATCGATTTAATGTTCATATTATCACATTTAAAAAAATGTAAATCGTAACTGTTTTGCAGGGGTAAACGGAATAGGCAATCATGATGATGTAAATGCCAACCACACAGGAAAGGTGGACATGAACACGAGAAATAAAATTCAAAAAATCATGCAAGACCACGAAAGTGATCCGCAGTTCCAGTGCTACAACTCAGACGCTGAATCTGAAGGATCGAACAACGATCAAGAATTTTACGGAAACGGCGACGTCGGCGTTGTATCGCCCGGACCGGGATGGAGCAAGGACTACGGCAATAAAAATTTTGGAATATCGGGGAAAAACGTGGCGCAGTCGAACTTGCAAAAACATAAATCATTGTCTACTCCGCTTTTTGACTTAACAAAACTTGATACCATAGAGACAGAGGTTGATGTGGATGAAAATGATGCCTATGCTCTTAGAAACGAGGCTTATGATAGCGACCTTGATGAAGATGTACTGCCAGGTGAGATAGCTCGTTGCGCAAGTGATCTGCGCGCGCCGTCGTCACTTTCGTCACGTTGTAAGTGGAGGGATGTAGTTAATGCCCTAGCTCTTTCCCCGTGTTGTTCCCTTATGCAATAAACTTGTTTCCGTCCATTTCTCAGTGCAGGGGCCGCCTCCATCTAGGTAGAGATTCTCGTAAGTTTTTGCGGCATGATAATGTAGACGTGATACTAATTGTGGCCTTGTTCGGTTAATTTAGTTCATCTTCGCATCAGAAAAGAGGCCGCTGTTTGTGTGTGTGTGTGTGTTTTTTTTATTGCAATGAATTCTTTTTAAGAGTTCAAAGATCTGTAAAGACCATGAAACACGACTAATCGACTTTGGCCCAGTCCACACGGATCCATTTTTGTTTGAAAACGGAGACTTTTTCTCCGTTTTCAAAAAATTCTCCGTCCACGCGTTGCGTTTTTGAATCGTTTTCCCCGTCCACACGAAAACGCAATTTTAACGATTGAAAACGGTACCATTTTTGATGGGAGCAGGTGCATTTACTACTATCCAACACCATGACGAAATCGTTTTTAAAAACCTCCGTTTTTATCCTTCCTCACGAGGACAACAAAGGGCGTTTTCAGAAATGTCCACTTTGGAGAGCGTTTTTGAAAGGATGGGTTTTCGGTGACCGGTCTTACCGGATTCGCGTGGACTGAGTCTGTTGAAACTATGGGAAGTGAAATCTGTTTCGTGAGGTCTATTGAGTCAAATACCTCCGACGCGAATAAACTCGATTAAATAAAGTTGTGAACCAGTATATAAAAAAATGAAGTCCTAGACTTGCTCACAAGTCGAGCTTTTGAGCGCGAAGCGCGAGCGAAAAAAAAAGAAAAAAAAAAGAAAGTCTATAGACTTGGCGGATATTTGAATTCACAAATTTGTTTCGTCTGTTTTAGGGGAAGCTGAAAAAGAGTTGTTATTTCCTTGCATGAATGAAGTCAAATCTAAACTCCAGTCAAGCTCTGACATGGACGATATCGCATTTGTTGAGAATCTTTTCGAACAGAAAGACTTTCAGGATGCTACGAACGTGAGTCATTAATATCTCGCATTTTTACTGAAATTACGGTAACTAACATGTTTCATATGGTACTAAAACATATTTATGAGAGTGGAAGATTATTTCTCTGTACATCGTCGCATTTCAGGTGAATTGTAAAATTTCACACGTTTTTCTGATATCTGACGATTTTATGAAGTAATTTCACGCAATGAGGAGACAAACTGCCTGTTTTACAAAATGACTGGCGATGATGATGATGACGATGACCATGATAGTTGTTGTGGTTGTTGTTACTTAACCGTTTAAGCCCCAGTATCCACATACAAATTCTCCAAACTGATCTCCATACATTTCCTTTAAGAATTAGTTGAGAGAATTTAGTAAAACATCAAGGCATTTTCTCTTTCATGATCATTTTTTATATTCTTACAACCTTATCTCTTGATAATGTATGGACATTGTTAGGAGAAAATTGCTGTTGGTCACTATTGAGACTTAAAGGGTTAACTGTAAGAGTCGTCAGTCAAATTTCAAGCTGACTGTTTTCTTTGCACACTGATTTTTCATTTTAGGTTTACACAAAAATGGTTGAATTGGAGCGATCAGGACGGGGCTTGAGTTCAGTCAGCCCTGTGGCTACAAATTCACAACATCTTTCTTCTCAGGTTGGAGCTCCATAAACACTTAAAAATTTTAAAAATGGTTAATGCCAGCATTTTATTGTTCTTTTCTTCATCAAGGGGATTTTGAACTCTAGTACAGGGACGATTTTCTCTTTGCTTGTCACGCCATTCGCGGCTCGCGATCTTAAAGGGGTTTTGTCACGCTTTTCACAAAATTGTCTTTGCATCAATCGAATTTCAAAAATGATGTCCATTTTAGTTATTTAAGACTTAATTCAGGTATTGAAGCTTTTTCCTGTCATCTGTTGCTACGGATTGCGTGGACGGACATGAATAAAACCAATTTTTTCAAGTTTTAATGCTATGCCTACAAAAATCAGAAAAAAGTTGTTATGGTTATTGCTCCCTCGTAAAGTGTGTTTGATATCTTCGTCATTACTCTCCAGGAGCATTTTGTATATGGGTAAATGCACTAAGTAATGACTTCAGCACAGAATTGACCTAAAACAGCAATATCCTCTTGACATAACCCCGTTAAGGCCCGCTTATACAGGCGATTTTCTCTGCGATTTCGTTGCGATTTTCCAGTCTTTATGCAGCTGCTCCCGTAAAGTGCGTCTGATATTAACACTTATCTAGCAGTGTAGAATTGTGGTTAATGTCACGCGAAAACTGAATCACCGATTAGTCAGCTCAGAATCCCAGCAGGTTCGAAATGACGGCGATTTTACAGGGGGCCCTGAAATCGCCGCTAAATTACATTCGCGATTTGAAATAACATCAAAAATTGCTCGAAAAGTCACCTGTGTAAACAGGCTTCTACTTGCATATTAATGATGAAGTTGAAGTGCAGTTTATAACATAACCTTTTAATATTTCAGTTGAGACATTCTCTTGAGGCTGTGAGGGACTCAAGGGATGCAGAGGAATTATTGGAGATTTTACAGTCGCCTAACTTTCAGGTACGGTAGTCATGTTAGTAGTGAACGTGGCAATTTTGCCTTGGTAAATATTTAGAGACCCTTTTGAAAGTACGACGGCGAAGGGAGCGAGAAAGTCTAAGACACGATAGGTTTGGTCAGCAAAACAACAACTCGTCTCGTTCATCACGCTTTTTGGTAGATTTTTTGCTGTTCTGCACGACCACTACTTGAGATGATCAAATTTTACGTTTACTTGAAGAAGGGATCGACAAGGCGATTAATTTTATTATGTCTGTCTGAACTCAGAGCTGGTCCCATCACTGCAGTTTTAACCTGACTTCCCTGGGCCTAGGCGAAACATCGAACTTTTCATGAGACGAGCCAAACTTAGCGAGTAAAGTTCATGAAAAGATCGACGTATGAGGCTCAATAAACATTGTCATACAAATTTTTCATTTCTAGTATTAGTTTAGTTCGTCGTATATGCAGATCGACGTTGGTTCCGGAGACGATCGTCAGACGTTCAGACGGATAGAACGTGTTGGACGATCCAAACTCATTCAGACAAACTTAACTGAGCCAAACATTCGTCGAACATTTCATGATCTTTACTCAACAAGTTTGCTTCGTCTCATGAAAGGTTCGACGTTTGGCGTAGAACCTACTTTAAATAACCTGGCAACTTGGAGAAATCGATAAAAAAGTTGGAAAGGACGCGCGCGAACTCTATTTTTCAGCGGCGAAATTACTGACGTCGCTGTTGTCGGGACGTAAGGTCCCTATTTCTTAAGCGCACGTGGTGTTTCCTTGTTTAATTTATTTGACCGGGGGAAGACTTGCCTGCGTTGATTTTTCAGTTGACCAGGAGCGCTTACCATTTGTAGGGAAATTCGATGAAAAAATTCCATCAAATGGTACTGGTATTTTTTTGGGCACAGAAAACAGAAACATTGAGTTGTACCATTTACAAAATACCGGTAAATTTTTCGCTTTCTCTCGACTTGAAGGCTGGTACTGGTAATCCAAACAAATGGTACAGAAAGTTTCGGCCGTTTCGGTAATACCTCGAAAGGTATTACTTTTTTTCCGGAAAATTTCCACCGGGGTGAACCATTCCATTCGAATTCTCCCCGGAATTTTCGGGTTTTCCATGAAAATGGTAAGCGCTTCATGGAGGAAGGGAAAATGAAGGCTGAAGCAGAACCTTTGGGGATTGAAATAGTCGTTTAGTTTCCCTAGGTAAACCTACCAATGAGATGCTGAGTTTTGGACACTGCACGTGCAGCGCGTGATTAGGTCCTAATTTGACCTAATTTGCAAGCGCTGTGTTCGTGTGAAGGTCTAAGAAAGCTTATTTCGGAGTGAAACGTCGTAAAATTCTGACGGTACGTGTCACTTCAGCTAAACTAAAACCCCAAATCTTCTGGGAATAATAATTGTGGTGACATAGTGTGAGAGTGTGACATTGCGACTGGTTCTCTGTTCACCTACTTTCGTTCACACGACCATTCATACGTTCTCCTTTCTCCCCCTGTCCACAATTTTGTTGACAGAGTCTCCTACTAGCGCACGATAGACTAGCGTTCAGGGAAGCTCTCCCGAGCGAAGAAGACGAACAAGAGATGGAGTCTGAACCTGAGCAGCATCAAGAGGCTCAGCAGGCCACGGACGGGTTTTCACTAGTTGAGGACGACAACGTAAAGATCGTGAGAATAGATAAGGCAACTGATCCACTCGGAGCCACAGTCAAAAATGAAAATGGCACCGTGATGATTGGAAGAATTGTTAAGGGTGGAGCAGCGGATAAGTGCGGTGAGTAGACGTAACAGATCCGTTAGTGTGTTCGACTTAGGAGAACGCACGCCTAATCTGCTACTTCCACGATCCCCATGGTGCAATTTGTTTTCAGTTCCTCAAAGGACGATTATTAGTCCCGAGGGAAATTGAAAACATTACCTTTGTAAAAAATTCGGGGAAAACAAATATTGCTTGTGCGAATGTGAAAGTCGTAAAATACAGATTGGAGTGAGATTGTATGGGGCGAATGTTGTTGATAAACGGTATCCAACCTTGTCCTTAGGGATTTTCTCTTAGAAAATGGGAGGGAAAAGCCGCTGGAAGGGAACATGGGACACCTATCTGGCATCCCTGCAGTCATCATAGCCAACTTGGCCGAAAGAGAGAGAGAGATCTTGGATCGAGTCGGCTACACATATCAGTTACTCCGAGAATATTCATTCGGATGCAGATTATTCAATTTCGATTCCGGATTCGAAGTCTCTGGACACAGGACCAAAGTGAGCAGTTTTTGTTTCAGTTTCACCGGTGCCAAAATGTATCGGATTTGTTTCGAATCTAGAAAAACTCCTCTAGTGTAAACTTAGCCCGGATCTGTTGGTACGTGCTGTTTTTCTGGTCAGCTGCTTAAGTCTTTCTGACACTGTTCTCGATGTTAAAACAGTGCTCTATTTGACACTGGCTAAACTCTCGGATAATAATCGGCCTTATGGATTTGAGACAGTTGACACATAGCTATGAGATGATTCACGTCTGAACATTTCGTTGCATTCGCGCAAGCGCGCAAAGATAACACCTAAACGCAGTTTATCTGTTCACGTATGTCAAGCAAATGTTGTGACCGTTCGACCCAGTGCCTTGCTTGGGAAAACCCTGCTGTCAGGTGCAACTACTAAAACGTGAGAAATAAGAAACTCAGAGAGGGTGACTCATTTTAGGGAGACCATAGAATGAATTTCATCAAAACTGCTTCCCTAATCAGCTGTTTAATTATTTTCTCATCATGGTTTCTTAGGTCTCCTGCAAGAAGGTGACGAAATTCTCGAAATAAACGGAGTGAACATGAGGGGCAAGACGGTAGCGGAGGTCTGTGAGCTGCTTGCAGACATGAATGGAACACTGACTTTCGTTTTGAACCCAGCAAATCGGTCGCGAGTTCCGTCGGACAGAGAGGTTCATGTGCGCGCGCATTTCGACTATCACCCATACGAGGATGACTTGATACCGTGCAGAGAACTGGGGCTAGCATTCAGACGAGGCGATATTCTTCATGTTGTCAATCAGGAGGATCCCAACTGGTGGCAGGTTAGTGACGTCATTTGTTGTAAAAGATGCGAGGGAATGTGTTGCCTTTGTGCGTCTTTCAGTGCACAGGCCCTCAACAAGAGTGCTTGACATGTACAGTTAGGGGAGAGAACCGGAATTTGAACTCTTTATGACCCTCGTTGTTGTCTGGGCCTGCCTTATACGTTCGAAGTTATCAAGCTGTTCAGTATAATACTGAAAGAAAATCAATTCCAAAAAAATAAAGAAAAAATTATGGCCTGGAATAAGAAGTTTTCTTTTCACGAAAAGAATTGGATTTCTGCAAGTAACAATACAGTAACTCGAACTCTATACTAAAGGGAAACGAAAAACAATTCGAGTTAACGGGTTCGATTGCAAAACGCAATTTGCCGTCTTAAAAATTGATAGGTACTGATTTTTCAGCACTTCAGTGTATAGTGGAGTGCAAATTTAACCTATTTCATCAGAATGGTAACATGATTAAGCTTTTCTTCTTCTATGATAAAACGTCAACTGTTTGTTGCACCAACTTAAATCAATTGATGAAGTGTTGACCACTGTTAGTTTTAGTTTTACCGATTGTACAAAAAGAAGAAGTAATGGGATGGCATCCGAATGGAATTACAAGAACCAGAATTTGAGTTATCGGGGTAAATTTCAGTGAATTTTCAAACAAGGGAAATGAAATTTAGTTCGAGTTGGCGGGGAATTCGAGTTATCCGAGTTCGAGTTAACCGAGTAAAAATAACTGAAAAGTGGGGTGAAATCCATGCAGGGGAAATTGGACTTAGTTCGAGTTAGCGGGGAGTTCGAGTTATCCGAATTCGAGTTATCGGGGTTCTACTGTAGTTGTGAACATCAAAGACAGGTTAAAATTATGCTGTTGAGGTCTTAGTGATGTTATCTAGCAAATTTTTCGGTTTCATTGCTGATGAAAGTTATTTCATGTGACGCCCTTGTTTTTGGTTTAATTAACCTGAACAGAGACTGATACTTTATTGTTTCGTTTTTGTTCAGGCATGGAGAGCGGGGGAAGAAGGCAAAACATTGGCTGGACTTATTCCTTCCAAGCACTTCCAACAGCAGTGAGTTCGTTACTTATTTTGAATCATGTTCGACACTGATGTTCTAGAGTGTTTTTTGTCCCCGCGTCGTTTTTGCTTTCTGGTCAATAACTGGGTTATCTGATGAAAGGATCTTTCTTTCCCCTTTACAACCAAGTGAGAGTAAACTTTGTGAGATAACACTTGCATGAAATATTGAGATAGTTTTGTGTTTGCAGAAAAGAGTCAATGAAGAAAACAACCCAAGAAGCGGAACAACCGAATAGAGAAAGTAAGAACAGCTTATATTCTTTTGTTTGTTGTTTGCCGGCGCTGACCAATCAAAACTCGAAGCGGATGTGTGTAGCGCAGTGCAAGCGCCAAGCGCGGGAAACGAGCATAGCATAGTCTCGATTGGGTTTTGGTTTTCCTTTTGCTTGGTTGAGTAAAGTGGCGCGAGATTTTTTGGCCAACCGCAAAGCGGTTTAAACAAAACCAAGCCATTTTCGAAAGGCCGACGTCATCGGTGAGGACCGCAACGCTAAGAAACTGCCGCTCGCACAATTTTTCATGTTCCTGTATCGCAAAATGTCTTTTTCATCGAGTGTCCTTTAACGTGTTTTTCAAATGTTTTTCTTTCTCCTTATTGTTGTAATCTTTTTTTTCTTGCAGAGAGAGGATGCCTTTGTTTCAGGCGAAAACGAAGAAGAAAGGTTCTTTACAACGCTCAGCGTAACGAAGGTTTGAGTTTACACTCGTTGTATTAATTGTGCGATACGTTAACTAAACAACGGGTTTTGGTTTTGTAGAGGTGTACTGGTGACGTAGCTTCCACACTTGCATTTTTTTATGATTGAACTCTTTTTTTTTTTGAACAAAAAACTTTTCATTTACAGAGAAAGTACCCTCCCTTTCCGTTACGATCACAGTGAAACAAGTTTTTAACAGTTTTTTTTCGGGTCAATCAATTAATCACGATGACGTTTAAGGCCTGGTAGCTTGAGGAGCGTTTTCATCGGGAAAAAAATTGCCAGTTCCAGGCTCTCAGTTAGTCACACGAGACGAGCGAAAAAAAGCGGGTCGAGGCCCTTGAATAGGCTACATAGAAATAGCCCGTGTTCAGACCCCCACCCCCTCCCCTTCTCCGTTTTTTTCCCCTTGACCCTTATGTATGGTTTGGCAGCTGAAATCTAAGGATAGAGGGTTTTGAAGTTTGTTTTTTGCGTTAGCAGTACAGGGCTTAGTCTTAACAAAGTTTTACTGCTTGAAAATTTTCACCACTCTTGGTCTTTTGACTTGCTTTATTGTATGCTATGGAAAGGAGGAATTCAGAAGTCGCGTAAGACTCGGGCCTCGTTGTGCGGCGGGTGGCTAGAGGCCTTAAGATCCGACAACGGCCACGGCAACGAGAAGGTCAAAAACGCAGTACTACGACATGAAATGGCCTGATTTCATACTTCATGAAGGACGTTAACTAGCAACTACGAAATGTTCTTTCCCTTTCTGAACTTGGACAAAGCTCTTAGGAATTCAACTCCAGGAGAGTTCGCATACATTTGGTAAAGTAAGCGAGTTGGAATAAAGATTAACAAAACGCTAATTCACTTTTTTAAGCGACGCTTTCCCTGCCGTCGTCGTCCTCGCTTCTTAAGGTCCCTTATAGTTACTCGTCTCTTAAGGCAAAGTTTTATGTTTGTTAATTACTATGCTTTTTTCGTAGAATATGTGGCCGACGAAGTTTTAACATACGAAGAAGTAGCGCTCTTACAGCCCGACCCGCAAAGAAAGCGTCCTGTGGTTCTTATAGGTATGTTAGCACAAACGGCAAGTCTAAACCGCTCACCATTCTGCCCGCCGTCGCTGGTTCATTTCTCCTGCTACGACGCTGTAACAGGCTGCTTATTTCCGATAATTCATCGAACGTTTTTTACTCCTTTACTTGATTTTCTCTCTGACAAGAAGATAGTACAATTCTGTGGTCAAAATCTACTAAACTGTACCTTTTAACATCGTGCATTTTATGGCAAAATGCCCAAGATCTTAGTAATTTTGAGGTTTTGAACTTGCAAAGGAACTTACGTAATTACTCTTTTCTAAGTTACATAAAACCGTTTCACGTTTGCTTAGAACTCGACTTAGCGTGGTAGGGAAATGATAAAACAACAAGCGAGATCTGATTTAATAATTCGAAATCCGCGTTGAGGTCGCGTTCTGACCGTTGGTTTGATATGCTTCAACGCCTAAACCACGGTTGTAAATAGCTAACTGGTTTGCTTAAATTTATATTTTCGCTGTTAAGGTTTACCTGAGACAGTTGTTTAATTATGATTTGTTCACTTTCAGGACCTGACAAAGTTGGTAGGAAAGAGTTAAGACAAAGGCTGATTTTATATTCACAAGAACGATTCGCGGGAGTGGTTCCTCGTAAGTATCGTTTGATAACCTTCAGTTTAGTCAATACATGTCTATATGCTGTTAGTTGATCATAGATCGATTGATCAATCGATTCACCCCATTGTTTTACTCGCGGTTTTTTACCCTGGTAGTTAGTCAGGTAGTTAGGCAGTCAGATAAACGTTCAGACAGACTTAAAGCAAAGCACTCTGATTGAGGTGAGAAAAGACTCGTCAATCCCTCTTTTCTTCATCCCAATGCTCCCACTTTTTGCGCGAAAATTTCAGGCCAGAATCGGCCTTGTCAGGTCGTCCAATGCTGATGTTCCTTATTAATGATCCTGATTCTTTATAAGTGTCGATTGGTAGCCTTCAGTTTAGTGAGTAGAGCTGTGAGTCAGTCGATCCATTGCTCTATTGTTTTACACTCGGTTTTTTTAGCCAGGTAGTTAGTCATCCTCCAGGCAGTCTGTCAGTCAGGCAGTTAGGCAGTCAGATAAACGTACAGACAGACAAAGATTGTTTGCCAACCAGATAATGAGTCGTTCATTCGCTCAATACGTCATAGGTGAGAGAAGTCTTCTAAATCTTTTGTCTTCATCCCACTATTCCAACTTTGCCTGAAAACTGCGTCGCAGAACGAATTACCAGAAGTGCGTTTCGAATTTCCCTCTAACCTAATCAGCCAATCGAACAATGGCTTTTTTTAGCAGGCCAATCGTAGCGCGTACTCAAATTTTGGTACACAGCCGGGAGCCCAGAAAAAATATTTCTGCGCCGGCTTTCTATTCTGCTCGCAGGCTCTTTGCTGACTGGCTGGTTAGCTCGCAGGCAGACTAAATCAGAGGTTTAAATTCGTCTATGGCACCCGCTACACGCTATCTGATAAGTGTTCAGTGCGAAATTTTGTTTCCTTCCACAAGAAATGATACAGAGTAGTTCCATGATCATTTCAGCTCTTTCCGCAATTGTTGTCCTGTGTTTATATAACCTTTTCTACTTTTTTATGTAGATTATGTTATTCGTTTTGTAACTGGTATATTTGCTTAGCGCTACTTTTTATCCGAAGGTTTATATACAACAGAGTCAACTTCAGCCTCTCATTTAGCTTAGGGGCCAGTATACTAAGCGCACAAAGTTTCAAAACGTTCTCTGTTTCTTTTTTAGATACCAGCCGGCCAAAAAGGCCCGAAGAAGTGCATGAAAGAGATTACTACTTTGTACCGCTTCCCAGTTTTGAGGCAGATATTGTTTCGCACAAATTTGTAGAGTACGGAGAGTTCGAGGGACATTATTACGGAACCGCTCTGGACTCCATAAGGAGAGTAGCCAATTCTGGAAAATATTGTATTTTAAATCTACATTGCGAGGTATGCCACATCATTCTTGGTGCTGAAATAGCAAAAATTTTGCATGATTCCAGCCCTGAGCAACAGTCGTTCCTCTCTAGAGAGCTTCAAGGTGCGAAAAAAATGGGGCTCGAGAAAACGCGGGGAGCGAGAAATAGTAAGGAAGGACAAAGCTGTGGAGCATGGGGAGCGAGAAAGTATGTGGCGCGAGAAAGCGTGACGCGCGAGACATCCATGCTTTCTCATGTCCCGTGCTTTCTCGCGCGTTACGGATATTTTTCATCGACTGGGTGGAAGGTATTTTTTTTCTTGTAAGCTTACACGAAGGCCATACGTTTTTTCCTTCTCCAGTTTTGCACATCCGTGCTCCTGGTGGCTTTTGAGTACCTGTTTTGACTCCTTTTTTCTGTTTTAATTAATCCTATGCCTTTTCAATCAGTCATTTCCTCCCGGCATCCCGTGACCTTGAATTGGCCCTTTATTGCTCTTCTAGACCCTGTAACTCACAGCTGCTTACTCTTCTTAGGCGCTCAAGGTATTGAAAGCCTCTGATGTTAAACCTTACGTGGTTTTTATATCGCCGGCATCTTATGACAGAATCCTCACACTCCGAAGAGGGAAAGTCGATCCTTTCAATCCCAAACCGACCGGTCAATTGACGGTATGTTGTGCTGATTGTTTTGTTCATGTTTTCATGTTTTTAATTGTCCAATTCATAGTGATCTCTCGTAATTTGGTGATATTACACGCGCGTTGATTGACTGCCTGTCTGTTATTAATAACATGACAAGCACTTTCATTGACTGTGTACTGCTGCCGTTTGTAGATCTTCAGGAGAGTTTGATCCTTTTTTGCGATTTTGTGTGTTAGTTGTTACAACAAGCGCTCTGATTGGCGGCGTATCCGTCCTTAACCATATAACAGGCGTTTTGATTGGCTACGCATGTGCTTTGCTTCAACGTTTGTAAACTGGTTTGTGCTGTATTGTAATCTCGAAAGATAAATAGCGTAAGAATATAATTTTGTGATTTTCAGGATGCAGAGCTGCGTGATATGGTAGACAAAGGACGAGAAATGGAAGAAACGTACGGACACTACTTCGAGAAGACGATCGTGAACACTGATCTGGAAAGAACGTTTGATGAACTTAGGCAAGTCATTGATAAACTTGATGTCGAGGCTCAATGGGTTCCAGCCTCCTGGGTAAACGAAAGCCGAGGCGGTTTGTAGTGAAACAAAGAAGTGGACACGAACGGCACGTCACCTCTGGTGAACGTTCGTCACACGAACAATCTGTACAAAGGCGTCAGTGGGAAGTCTTTTTGGACATCAAGAACTTATGTCAGTAGAAAAAGATGGAAGAAATTCAGGACAAGTAAGATTTTGCTATCCATTTAAATGAAAGAATCTTAAGTTATGTACAAAACCATTTTCAGTTACTATACGATTACCAGCGCGGTTATTAACGATGTGAACGTTTTAAGAGCTTAATTGCTTATATTTTGGACGAGCTAATTATCGTTTTTAAAAGATATCTAACGATCTTGTAATATAATCATAACATGGTCAGTAATGTATGTAAATTTCGAATCGTTTTCTGCGTGAAAAGCAGAAAGTCTTGCCAAAACTTGTGATGGATGTCGATTTTGTTCAAAGTTGCTAGAGGTACGAACACCTTTTTCGATGGCTTAACAGGTAGTAATACTAATATTTTACTAAATATTTCTTAGTATTAGCTGTTAAACCATCGAATACGGATTTATTATTAGACTAACATTTCTTTGATTTAAGCACTTTCAGTTGAAAAGCTAAGGTGTAATTCGTTTCCTTCGCATTGCCCATAATACACTTGGTTTGCTCCTCCCCCCACCCCCCCTTAAATTTTGCCTAACCATGTTTTCCATTTCACCTGGGTATCACAGTCCAATGGCGGATCCAGACCTTCAGATAAGGGGGGGGGGGGGGGGGGGCGGTCATCCAGACCCTGAGATAGGGGGTCCTGGTCTCAAAAATTTTTTTCCCGCCCTTTGGGCCTCAGTTTGGTCTAAAAATAAGGGGGGACCCCGGCCCCCCGGGCCTCTCCCCTGGAGCCGCCACTGCAGTCGCCCCAAGCTGGAGCTGATTATCTTGCTTCTGCCCTGGAGCCAAGAAAAATGTCATTCATCATGCAGAATTGACTATTTTACAGTTGTACTGTTATTACTGACCGTAGCTTTTAATGAATCTGAGGCTGCACGTGCTGTTACAGTCAAACTAGGTCAAGCGTACCCCCCAAGAATCCATTAATGAATTTATTATTCAAAAGTTGAATCCGTTGCTAGTTGTAGATTTCAGATTGATCTCTGCATTCTTGAATGTGTAATGAGCCGTGAATTCACACGCGAGGCAGTTATGAAATTTCTACCAGCTCCATTTTCCTGAAATTGATGTAAATGTCTGCTACGAAGCTTAATCCATTCAAAGATTTCCAATCTGACCAAATACAGAGAAGTTCTCGTAAAATATTCACTGCTCATTACGCATGCAGAAATGCCGCTTTGAATTTGACACCAGTTATGGGAACGACGAACGGATTCATTTTTCAAATAATCAATTCACTGATAGAATCTTGGGGGGTACGCTTGACTTGGTTTGACTGTAAAGCGTGATTTCCACAAGCAAAGCCAGTGGTTTGTATAAAATAAAAGTCACACTCAACCTCGCTATCACTTACAGGTTAGGCTACTAAGCTGGTCTATTTTCTGCAATATATTGCATGCATAATGTCACAGACAGTATCGTTATAGGCTGTTGCGAGGCAAGATAAATTTGATCTTTCTTGGATCTTAGGGTAAATTGGCTTATTCTTAATTCATTCATTTGAGAAATATATCCGTATTTCGTAAATTAAGATTTATTCAAACGAAGTAGAAGATTTGTTATAAATAGAGCAACTGACCTAATGAAAGATTCGTTTTGCCAAAGAAAGTTTAGTCTGGCCTTAATGCGAAATATTTTTGGGTTTTCCTAGTGAAATTTCTGTAATACAGCGCTCATGTTTTTCACATTGTAACCTTGAATTGGTCTGGTTACTAGATATTTTACTACTGGTTATTGCTAATAAATTACCTTAATGTTTCCTTTATGTACATAAAACGTACCATTTATCTAATCAAAGACACCATAAACGCTTTATAAGTTGAAGAAAAGGCACTTGACGTTAGCGAGCTCTGGAGAACGTATAGAACCACTAAGATACAGGGGAAAGCTTGACTCATATTTCAGCGGTTTCACAGAAGTGATTAGGTTATAGAGCGAAGAAGTCATCAGTTACAACACGTTGCCATGGTAGCTAAATTTCTGGACCTCAACAAACTGTGGTCCTGCAAATATGGCTGAAAAAAAAAAACTTAACTTAACTATACTCCTGTGTACTCAAGAACAAAACGGCAGCCCATACTTTTCTTCCATCGTTCCACAATGCAACTAACCGTCTCTGTCAGGAAAGATTGTTGAGGTCCAGAAGTTTTGCTACCATGGTAACGTGACGTCACACTTCGCATGATTATCTGTAATAATGCCACTAATCTTTATAAACTTAAAGACTGTTTACAGTCTCCCATTCTTCGCGGAAAAAGGTGTGTGCCGTTACGTGAAGGTGATGTTACACGAGACGATTAGCAACGACGATTTTTATCGCAACACAGCGTTGCAATGTTGGAACAATCCTGTAACCACTCGAAACAATGTGGCAACAATGTTGTGATGCTGTGCTGGGCTACAAATCGTCGTTAAGAATTGTCTCGTGTAACATCGCCTTCAGCCATGTTGGTTTAAAATGTACTATGGTGTAATCTGGGGGTGTAAGATGTGGCGAAAGGGGTGGAACGAGGTTCCCCGACACCCACCCCGTCGGTACTACATTTGAAACTAAGATGGCCGCAACTTTAAGTAGCATTTCGACTCCAACAATTTTAACAAGAAATGGGGGGAGGGGAGGGTAAGCAGTGTAAAAACTAAAGTTTCTCCGGCCAGCCATCCAGAAACCGCTCTATTTATCTTAAACAAGAACTATGTTCGCCATGATAGTTTTTTTAACGTCCAAAAGTCTTTTGTATCATTCAAAGATTAGTTATGCAAATATTACATTTATGTCTTGTAGGTTTTGTAAAAGATTGTAGTTATAATGAACAAAGTGAAGTCTATGTTTTTGAAACAGAGTTTTGTGCTAGTAAACGGCATCACTATTGCGCCAAGAAAACTATTGACTAGAAAATACAAAGAAAACAATTAACAGAAAAAACTGGTAAAGAATTTGTGCGAAAACAGAGGCACAATTTACCAAAACTCAATAAGGATTTTCGCAAGTAATCTTCCCATATTGTAAATTTTTAAAGAAGCTGTTAATAATTTCGAAGCAAATATTTTTATATACTTCATGAGCCCTAACTATTTAATTCTTTCATCATGTTCGTAGGGTAATTATTTAGGACAAGTAACAACAGTCAATAATCTCTCAGACTGACACCTTCAGGATCAGCACTAATTTTGGGCTTAGGGAACTGTCCGTCTTCTAGAAAGTCGGAAAATGGCTGAAAAACACGACAGGGGCAATTCTCGTACCCAGGTCCCATCTTTTCTTTTGATCACGTGGTCTTTGGAACGGCGGCTCTTGTGGGAACGAGAATGGACAGAGGCCAACTCTGGGTTTCCGTATTATGAAGGTGTCCGTTTAATAGGGTGACCACTATGAGAGAGGTGGTTGTAATGTAATAATATGATCGACAATCTAAGGAAATAGATGTCCTCACTCGGTTCCTACCGCGTTTTGTCTTCCGGAGCTGCCACAGCTAGTCATGGACGCGGAAAAACACAACATGAAGTGAAATGAGCCCCGGTAAATTGCGAAATACCCCACCTTCGCTATATTAGAACTCTAACATAACTCCGAGGCTTTATGGACAAAACTGCAAATTTTGCACCACTCCATTGTCTGACAAATCCCAGAAGAGACTTGTGCACAAAGAAAACCAAACCAAATATAGAAATATGACAAGAAAGCCTCGGAGCCATGTTAGAATTGTAAGATATCGAACGTGGGCTATTAGAAACGCCGGTCAACTGTAGGTGGCTATCTGTTTTCATAGGTTATGTGTGCGAAAGCTCAAGCCCTTGCGTTCATAGAAGGTGAAGCCTGGGGTGTAGCTTAAACAGGGACGTCACCAAACAACTACCATGCGTAGCAGGCGCGGTTTTTTTTTTCAGGTCTCGAGAACGCGCGGACAACTAAATCCTGTTTCCAGGCTTTGCGCGGTACAGAACACTAGGGAACGCCTGGGCTTAGTGAACTAGCAACTCAACAGAATTTACTGAAACACTTACTATGTAGGCAGTGTATTTTATGGGTTCAAATAAAGGGTGACTGCAACTTTCTCCTTGTCTTTTTTTCTCTAGTTTGTCCTTTTATTTTTTGTGTGAAACAGTTAAACGTCCGTCGATCAAGGGCTGGCCCATATAAGGGGAATTCTCGGTGACATTATTGTAAGAAAACAAAGAAAAAACCAGTTTGCTTTGCTGCTGTTTTGTGTCATTTTGGTGAGCTTTGGTGCCCTTGCTTTTCCTGATTAACTGGATTTACTATTCTAAAATAAAAAGTGTTCAAAATTTTTCCGGTGAGGTCCTTTATTGATTTCGAGCGATGGTGGGCCTTTCTCATTTGAAAATCCGGAGTTGGGGCCACTGAATAGATTGTTTTTGTTCCACACGGCTTCCTAACACAGATTTCCCCGTCGTTGGCTTCTGCCATTTTGCATCCCCTGGTCATACATCCTCGGACACCCTCATATCGCGAGGGACATATTTGTCTCTCCATTCTGGCATGAGTAGTGTAATACGCAGGCGCCGGTTGGCAGCTAAGATCATTTTTGAATACTGGACACTACACCCAATTGGCCGTAATACTGAAACCCTGGCCGAGATTATGATGCCCGCGTGAAGAATGTATCTCCAATTCCTAACAATTAGAGGTAAGAAATTTATTTCTCCCCCACCGGTAAAGAGGTCTCAAGAATTAAGTATGTTATACTACTACATGAGAAATTTCTTCAATTTGATTGGCTTACAGTACTGGTATTTCAGCTTCCAATAGCTACATGCAATGAAATTAACAAAACCTTTTGCCGGTAGTAGTATAAACAAATAATAGCATGATTTACACGTAAAATTTGCCATAAATACCACTCGTGATATTTCAAAATTGTCCCAAATTACGTATAACAATCTCGAAATATCACTACAAATCATGCTATTACCTATACTTATCACACCAGATGAACCCTCACTGTTCTTAACCTCCATGGGGGAATAGCAGAGGCCTGCAGTTGTCCCTGGTTTTGGGCGGTCTCTTTTCCTCCCACCCGCCGAATACCAGCAACAGGCCAACAGAGGCCTCTGCTGGCAGGGGGACGCCTGGAAACGAGGAAGACAATCTGTGATGCAACGTTATCCCTCAAGGAAGATCATTTCCTTGTTTCTTTTTCTCCTTTTTTTCTCTTTTTCTTCGCCTTATTTACGACCGGGACTTGTTTACAAGCTAATTAGAAAAAAAATCTGTGTGATTTGATAACATTTAGTACTCAATTCCTTCAAATTTGTTTTTGTCTTCGCATAATAAAACCATCATTATAAATGTCAACGAAGAATTGCACGACCGGAAATAACTTTCATGAAGGCCACGTGACTTGATATAAAAAGAAAATTCCGACGTATTGTTTAGAGTCACGGTATGTTAGAAAAAAGGTTCACGCGACTAAAAATGGCACAAACAGATTTTGATATTTTCCAAGCTTCGTGTCTGTGAAGCAACAAGTGGAGCCAACAGATTTTTATGTATTGATCGATTGGCTGTCAGAATTTATTGACAAATCAATCCCCGTTTGATCGACTGGTTGTTGCACTCGACGTTGATGGGTTCTCAATTAGTCGTGATGCGCTCGTCTGGACTCCTCTCTTCGAGGAAAGCGAGATTGTGTTTTGCATTGTTATTAGTTAATGGGCTTTTAATCGTCGGAATCTTTGTCTCCGCTTCGAGAAGACCAAGTGAATCAAACGTTTTTTCACCACCTCCTGAGGCCGACAAAACAAACGTTCCAAGTGTGGGATATACTCCAAAGGAGCGGAGTGTTATATTACAGTCACTGAATGTGAACACGATTCCAGCGGATATTCGAGACACGCTCCTTAAAGTTCACAGATATCTGGAGACACAAACGACTATAGACGCAACAGGAATTTGCCAATTTGCATGGAAATTTAATTCAACACAGAATTACTTGGATCTATTTACTTGCAAATAGTAATTCGTGGATTGTAAAACGGAGAAGAGAAAATCAAAGGCAGAGAAAACATTGGAAGACGAAACAGGACCGCCACTTTCGCAGTACTGGTTATTAGTGGAGTTAGTATATTAAATCATGACTAGCTGTTGGGAATTACTAGATTCAATATTCAGATAATTTTATCCTGTTGTTTTTATTCCTTTTTTTACATGTTTTATAGTGTGTTTTTATTCAGAGGCCCCCAACGACAATTTTCGGAAAATATCTGTTCCAAAGACGATTTGCGATCTACAATTTTCGGAACATTTGTTGTAAAATTTCTTGCTTGCCTGCCTCTCCTAGGATTTTCGAACATCTAAAAAATGGTATAATTGCCCATTTTTAACGGATTTTTACCCTTAAAAGGTCACCTTGAATTTTCGGGAGCCTTTTTTCTGGCTGAAATTTTCGGAAAGATAAGTTTTGATCCCTATAATTTTCGGATCACTAGACTTTTAGCTAGGAAATCCGAACAGATGGAAAATTTCTAAGAGAAAAAAATATGCCTATATCTACGGTTTAAATACTAAAATACGTTTAACAATGCTATGTTTAAGTGGTTTTGAACTATATCCTCGTTGGCTGCCCCTGTTTATTTGTAAAACGTAATATAACGGATATGTTAATAGGCAATTTGGCTAAGTCTACCAGTCCAGATTAGTCGCTTTTCTATTTGCGTGCGGTTACACCTGTGAATTTGTGTTGACAAACATATCTGACCACTTTTATGCCAATATCGTAACCATTTGATGCGTTTTTTAAAAGGACGAATTTGAAAGGATCGAACTTATCTCTGCGAGCAAAATTTAGGTCACGCAAGGGCTAGCCACGAATATGCAGTACTGAGGAACTCTAGTGCAACTGCTAGTGAATATAACAAATTTCCTAAGACTTCAGTTACATAACTGCCGACCCAACAGGACACAATAACAAAATAAAGGCACAGTTTTTACCCTAGTTTTTACTGTTAGTAACACAGAAAGTACTGTTAGTAAAAATTCGATTACAAATTCTTGTAATTCAAATGCTCCACTTGCGCTTTCGGTCATCTCGGCATTTCGTTAACCACTTCTTCAGGCCGCTGGCACTCCCAGGGTAGGCATTTTAACATCTAAATAAAAGTAACACAGCCAAAGTAAACAATAAATTTCCTTGTTCATGCAAATGACAGTTCCCTCAGTTATTTATAATCATCAAGTATCGAGTATGGCAACTGACTCGTCCTCAGTCGTCTCTTTGCGGTCATGGGAAGGTCGCGGGAGCTCGGCGACAAGGACGATAGGAAGGAGAACGCACTCCCCTCTTTCGTTCTTCCCATCACCCCTCGTACTCCTCTCGACAGCACTTCTCTCGTCAAGGGAGCTCATTGAATAAGTAACGACGACGAAAACGTCACTTAAAAAGTGAATTCGCGCTGTCTCAAACTTAATCGCAGCTAATTCAGGGGCACCCAACGAGAATATAGTTCAAAACCACTTAAACATAGCATTGTTAAACGTATTTTAGTATTTAAACGGTAGATAAAGGCATATTTTTATCCCCTAAAAATTTTTCATCTGTTCGGATTTCCTAGCTGAAAGTCTAGTGATCCGAAAATTATAGGGATCAAAACTCGCCTTTTCGAAAATTTCAGCCAGAAAAAAGGCTCCCGAAAATTCTAGGTGACCTTTTTAGGGTAAAAATCCGTTAAAAATAGGCAATTATACTATTTCTTAGATGTTCGAAAATCCTAGGAGAGGCAGGCAAGCAAGAAATTTTACAACAAATGTTCCGAAAATTCTAGATCTCAAATCGTCTTCCGAACAGATATTTTTCCGAAAATTGTCGTTGGGTGCCCCTGCTAATTGCGCTTATTCCATCCCGTTTAATTCGTCAAATGTTGGGAAATTTATTTGGAGTTTAATTCTAAGGGATTGTATCAAAGTTCAAGAAAAGAAAAAGAAAATTGTAGTTTTGTGTTCCCTTCCGAGACAAAACGTGAAATTACGCACTTTCACGTTGTAAACTGAAATGTCCATTATAAATATTTTGCCAATCTAAACCTATTGGTTTTTTGCCGTTCTCGTTGCCCTCGCCTTCGTCGTTGGTTAGGCTCTGAGGCGAATGATCTCTCAAGCTTCTTGAACCTTTCAATTGGTAATCAGCCGCCGAGTAAGATTTTCTTCAGTTTTCGTTTTTATGCGATTTTGTTTTGATTATAGAGTAACTTCCCCGTAATTTTAAGTGATTGTCACTTTTATTCTCTTGTAAAGTTCCTTGTGTCTTTCTCACCACTCGTAATTTGATCTTCGTATGGATTCTTATTCATTCGTGTCACAAAATTATACTTGACCAACTCTCCCCTCCGCTGAGGCCTCATTCACCCCGCAAAGAACTGGAGAATTGATTGCCCCCGCAGGGATTTCGAATCCCGAGGAGGCACTCTAGTAACTCGCGCGTATATTAAGGAAAGTACTTACAGTTGAAATATACAGTCATACAGTCAATATAGAAAAAATCTCGATTTGCTTGAACGGGGGCCGCGAGGAATCGGTAGCTAATGATGACGTTTCTATTGTTTGCGCCCGCAAGTACGAAATGGTTAAGGATGACGTAAAGACAGAAAATCCCGAAGGGACCGCTCAGGTAGATTTTGTGACATTTATTGTGCAGTCATACTTCGATACTCTTTTGCGTTACGCAGTGACATTCTGTGGAGCAGTTGTTTTGAAAGTTATGGACCAAAAGACACTCGTTAAGCGCAGATGAGGTTATAATGTGCGTTTAACTGTGTATATATAAACACTTGGAGAGTTTGCCAGACACAAGTTCACAAATCTTTGATTTATATTGGAAACCTGGTCAGACACTCTTTCTCTCTCTCGCCCCATGT